CTAGAAAAATGGGACACGCATTTTTTCAGAGCGGTTAAGGGAATTAGGGAATTTCAATAAGATTCTTAGTGATTTTACTACGGATTGCTTTACGATTAAACGTTTAATTACGGTAAAGAGGAACAAACAAACATAGTTTTCTGTATAGTACGTATGTTATGATTATCACAATGACGAGGCATTTATGGAGTAATTTTGCTTGTATATTGTATATCTATAAAGATTTACACGTTTTTAAAAGGGATTCCTAAGATTTCAATCGTGGCTCCAATTTAAAAAAGTTTTTTAAATGATGACTTTCAAAAAAAACTTTACATTCAAATTCAGACTAAACATAACTAGTCTAGAGGATTAATATTACAAAGCTGACTGTTCCAAAATATATTCGTATATTATGATTTATTTACAAGAATTTCCAAATAGCAACAGATATTCTGATTTCCCTTCCCATATTAATTTGCCATGGCAATTATTGTAATTAAGGATACGCTCAGATTTACATATTGGAAAATTAAAGCCGATGTTACGCAATTAAGGAAACACCATTGTTCAAAACAAAATTGTTATCATAACTCTGTAGTATTTGTTTAACTTGGGACATGGTTATGTTACACGTGTGTTACCCTTAACAAAAACACGATAAAAGAAATAACAATCATAATAATTACGTCTTATTTTTTCATTCAATTGCACAGCACTTTCGTAATGAAACACGACACAATGGATTTTTGTATAGTATCTAACTATAATGAGACATAGGTACAAAACTTATTAAAAATACAAAATTACTCATGTAAATAAACTGAGTCAAAGTCTAAAAGCTCTCAGCGTCACGGCGACGTCGCGTTGCCGACCATTTTCTACACCATTATTTTGAATTTTTTTAATTTTTTTTTTTATTTCATTCTACATAGGCAGAACAACAAACAGCAGTCACACACTTTCGATGAGTTATATTTAAGTAATGGAAAACGGCGAGGTATGGGAGAGACGGGGATAGGACTATAAGACATACTATCTCTTATCCCCGTCTACCCGTTCTGCTCTTGTAATATTATTTAGAACTGCTCCAATAGTATTTACTGTTTAAGCCAATGGTTACGGAGATACATATTACCAATGTTTACCTACTTTACACTAAAGTAATGAAGTTCAACAATCAAGTTTTGATTATTAAATAAATTATTTATTATTTGTATGCCCTGACACATTACAAGAAAATACATGCAATTTTTTGTAATTTAATACTTATTAATAGGTCTGTATTAGTTTATGGAATACCATAGATGGATGAGTATAGGATTTGTCATCTGTTATCAAAATATGGACTACCTATGTAGTCATGCATAGCAAAATTATTGCTAAATGAGCATTTATAAATAGATATTTAATAAATAAGGACAATAAATTAAAATATAATTTCCTGCATAGAATATATTAATAAGGGCAAATCTATCCTACAATAAATAGAATTAAGATTGTATAATATTTTCCTGTAAATGTTAAGTCCCAAAGTATTATTTTATTAGGGATATTTTAATATTTATATTAAGTAGGTAGGTAGGTAGGTACATATGTATAATTATTTATATAAAGGAACAAACATGTCCACCTCACGGTAAGTGGTCATTGCTGCCTACCAGGTCATGTAACACCTGAGCAGAGACTAAAATGGTGAAACACAGCATAATTAAATAAGTAGTGATTATTTTTAAATTAATTGTTTACTATCTTTCTATAAAATATTTAATTTTCCTGTTATTTTTTTTTTTGCAAAACAAAATATTTAATGACTCATATCATATACAAAATTATAAAAGTTGATAATCTAAATATTATGATTTTAGCCAAATAATAAGTATTATCACGCTTAAAGTATATCGGTAGTGAAAAAGCCCAAAGAAATTCTGAGAACCTTATCAAAAATGAGGTGTTATAATATTTGATATGACTCAGTGACTATTTTAAATGTCATGACTAATACTGACAGGTACCAATCCATGTTATCAGGAGATTTGTGATAAGCACTTGTAAGAATCTTATCAATGTCGAATTTTAAAGAAAAATAACAATCTAAACCTTATTCATGGTGACTGTATGTCCATTTTTGATAACATTTTTCTAATAAAATTATCTTAATCATTAAATATAAATTGATTTTAAACACCACCAGTGTTACTACATTGTCTTTTAGAGTCCTAATGACTCTTCTAATTTACCATTTACACATTAAGAAAAAGCCCATTATTTAAAAAAAAACATATTTTAATATCTTATTTTATTATGTGAGTATTATAATACATATGGAATATTATTTATTACAATTTAAATATAACCATAGCATGTTTGTGTAGTATAGGCTGTAGAAACCAAGTAAACAAAATAAATTTATCAACTGTTCCTAGAATTCTAGACTAATCTACAGATATACTGATACTATGAAGTTGACAGAATTTAAGATGCGGGAAAGTACACCCTGCTTTATTTAGATCTGAATTTATTTCATGAATTAAAAACTGTATAGTTTTGTAATAAAGTATTAAATCTATTGAAAACATTAACTACTTTGAGGTTTTTGTGGTAGCATCTATGCTTGCGTTTAATAATCTGTGCATTTTCAAAGTAGGTACAATAAGAACTTGTTTGTTTTCCTTATATAATATAGTTCAGACTCAAACAGTGCCAATTTCAATAATTTGTTTATTGTTTACTAGTTTTTTTACATAAATTGGAATCAATTTGGATCACTTTATATGCATTCATTCAAAATCATTGAAATTATATCAAAATTATTCTATACTCTTTCTCTAGTCCTATCATAAAGTTAAGCTTTGAGGTAGGGCAGTTACTTATTTACATTTTCATGAACAAAAATGCTTTTCAATATATATTTGAGTAAGTTAATGAGTATCCTCTATGAGGTGTAAAAATGCTTGAAATACCAGGAAGTCAGCCAGCACAAAGGATTTCCTACTAACTACTGTATTAATTTGATTAAGTAAACCAGTTTTACCTTGGTAACAGATCCTAAGAATATGAAAATGAAGCGAAATCATTTACAAAACTTTTTCAAGTTCTATTAAAGTTGATATAACCTTTTCTTTCTTCATTTATCTGAATGTGGGAGGCATGAGGATAGAGTTACTTACCGTAAGTAAGGACCGAGAGGTCGGGACGGACGAAACAAAATCATTTGTAGACGAGTCCTGCGAAGATTGACTGTCGCAGGAAATGTCCGATTGATTTGATTGACTATCACTGATTTCTAGCTTCATCGTCATCAGTTCAGATTCACTTATGTCCAAGTTTCAACACTAGATATGTTTTACGTAATTTACTCGACAAACAACGCGTATTATCAAAGCGATCTAGAACTTCAAACAAAGTTTGTAGTTCCGCGTAACTATCAAATGCTGCGAAGTTTCTCTTGACAGTTCACTAATGACAGGAACGGAATCAAAATAAGGCGCCTTGAATTAAAAAAGATTATCCAACGAGAACACAACAATGATGACTCATCATTGCAGCTTGCACACAAACGAACGAAGGATGACGTCGTCGTCAGTTTGGGGATGCCCTTCTCTCCTTAAAAATTCAGATGTTCTGTAACGAAACGACATAAGCGCCGAATATTATCATACACAAAATTACTTTTTGGACGTCTCGCAATACTTCAACCCAAACGAAACTGAAGGGTGATCTCATCGTCTAAAAATACTAGGTAGCGTGATATTTAACCAATAGCGAAGCTGCTTTTGTATGTCGTCACAAAATTTGGCTCTACAAGGTTCTCCGATACCAAGAGAACTCGCTTCAAATTCGCTTAAACCAAATCGAGATTCATTTTCTACGTTTTTTCTTATATAATAAAAGACCAATTTTTACTTTCATTTACTCAAGTTCATTAAAGTAAATAAAAATAAAATAAGTTATGAATAAATTATTTCAGTGCTCATTTTAAGGAGAGGTTAGTTAATTTTGTTCTAACTAAAAGCAACGAGGAAGCAACACAAGCTATTTTATAATGTGTGAAAGAAAGTAGTTTAAGCATTATAGTGGTTAATTATTTTTTGATACCTAACTAAATTGTAAGCTCAAATTATTGATTGGACAGTTATTTTATGAAGAAAAAATGAAAAGACAAAAAGTAAAAAAATCAAGAATTAAAGTTTGAAATGGTTTAATTTTTATTTTGTTTATTGACTAGCTTCTTCCTATAGCTTCGTTCGCATGGCGTGCATAACACGAAGCCTATGTATTATTTCAGACTAATATATCTTTGTACCAAGTCAATTTAATTGTTTTTTACGTAAATAAATAAAATCATAAAATAGTATCAAACATGTCCATTCGTATAAAATTTCGCGTTTATAATATTAAAAGCCAAGAAAGGAATAACTTTATGCAACCAAAGCATGACTTATTCCTTATTTTACTTACGAGAAACAGTAAATTATTATGCTTACTTATCGTAAACAAATAAAATATCTAGTGAGTTTAAAGACTAGATTATGGACAAAAATACAAAAACTTGAATACCTACGGTTGTGGTAATATCAGTTTTTGTAAATGTAATCTACCATCTAAATTACCTTTTGCTATAATAGCACTCAGTAGTACCCAACTAAATATTAAAAAAGGATTTTCATTTAGTGGAATCCAACTAAATTCATAATTTTAGTAATGTGTCCACATCTCTTCCAACGTCAATATGTCATTGTCATTGTAAACAACTATCAGCTGCAGCTGGCATTAATTGTCACTTGTCAGTCGTGGTCGTGATTATTTTGTGTTTAGTGAGCGAAGTCAAAATTGTTATCATTCTATTGAGGATTTCACTTATTTAAACAATTCTATATTGTTTAACATTATCGGATATGAATATTTAACCCTTGGCTTTCCATTAAAACGTTTTCGTTTACTTAATTTATCAAAAAACCAAGGTGATTTACTTATTATTATATTATACTACTTTGAGACGACAACGATTCGTGTTTAACTAGAGATAAAGTTTATATTTTTTGATGAAACACTACCTTCATGCTAACTTGCATCTATTGGTAAAGTTACAGAATCTGAATTCTTTGACGGAAACCCAAAAAAACGTAAAATTATTTGATGTTTCTCAACCTAACCTAAATCGCCATCAATGTTTATGTTCTCATTTTTGTGGACAGAAAAATGTCTGGGAAGAAATGTAAGCATTGTGGTTCCTCGGACATCGAGGTGGACCCGGCGCGAGGTGACGCAGTGTGTACAAACTGTGGATCTGTGCTGGAAGATAATATTATTGTTGCTGAAATCGAGTTCCAAGAAAACGCCCATGGTGGGGCTTCTACCATCGGACAGTTTGTGTCTGCTGAAACTAAAGGAGGAGCTACAGGTTTTGGCAGAGGTAAACAATATTTTTGAAGCTATTAAAAGTAACTTTTATATTATTATGTTGTTGATAAATTAATTCATAATTTAGAAAATCTGTATCAAAATAAATCTTATAGATACAACATATCTTATAAGCCCAACTCAGCATGTTTACAGGGAACTGAATGTTCCATCAGCAACCTCCTATCTATCAAACCTGGTTAATGCATGGTCATCAAATCTTTAATGCTCACAATTGCCAAGTTTTATGCTGATACAAGAAGAACCAGAGTGTAGAATATTAGAAGTGCAAGTAATAATAGTGTAGTTATATGTTGTATATTAATAAAATATAGTAGGTTATGTAATTAATAAGTAATGTGACCCTTCAACATTGCCTACATGATGTCTCCTAGAAGAATCAATGAGTTATATTTCTTGATGTTTTACTATTAATAAATAAGCTATAAGCTACTAACTACTTATACTAATCAACATTAATTTATCTTGACAGCCTTCAATGCTGGTATTGGGCAAGAATCCAGAGAAGTGACACTAAGAAAAGCCCGTGAAGGCATCACAGCTCTCTGCCAACAGTTGCGACTAAACCAGCAATGCATAGACATAGCCTGCAACTTCTACAAGATGGCTCTGTCTCGACATCTGACGATTGGAAGGCCTTCCAGTCACACTCAAGCAGCTTGCGTATACATGACATGCAGGACTGAAGGCACAGCACGTATCCTTTCCATATAAAACAATACAAAATATTATTTCCATATTTAAATTTTTTCATAATACTCCAAGAAGCATATTTGCCAAAATAATTGTGTCTTAATGGGCTATTTCAACTGGTACCCTGAATAAAGCCATTAAACAATATGTTTTTGTTGGGTTTCTCCCATGTAAGTGAGGTAGCCTGGGGGCCAAATTCCTCACTGTACTAAAATTATAGTACATTAAATGAAACACACTCACAGGTGCACTACTATTTTTAATAATAAGAGTAAGAATTAATCGAAACAGTCATACAGTTCTGAGACTTACTCTTCATTTACAATCATAATGGGAGATTTTTAAGGAATTTTCTATATAAATTTATAATCCTTCTTTTTAATGTGTTTCGCGGCCTAATCCCACTTTAGGGCATTGATTCGCAACAAGGCTGTAGTCCGTAATTTCTTTTCATAGTGGCCCAACGACATTCGTTACGTTCGAATGAATAGGCCTGTTTGGCACCAACATTATGAATGGACCCAATATTGAGTCTTGTGGTACGCCCATAGATCATATCTATCTATATCTACAACCCTGTGAGTTCCCACTTTGCTTACCTACTTGTGTTTCTTGAAAGTATGTCTATGAAAATATGTATTCACACTTACCATAGTCAAAGTCAAAATAATTTATTTCAATTAAAAAGTGCCAGTCTTCCTGGTGAAACTGTTTGCATATGTAATTACCTGAACAAAATTATACAGATCTGTTGATTGATGTAAGCGACGCTGTACCTATCTGCTGTTATCAAGTGGGACGAACATACTTCAAGCTTTCGAGAGCATTATGCATCAACATACCTCCTACTGGTAAGTGCTAATCTTAATTTTCTTTCTTATATTCTATTGTCCACTCTCGTGAATTCAGGCAGAAGGAAGTCCGAGCTTGAAAACCCTGGTTCAATTCGTAGGTCGAGACTGTTGATTTCGAAGCCATTTTTATTACACGTATAATTATATAAGGCATAAAACAAGGATTTGATTTGTGTTGTGAGTATACACTTACCTACCTACACCTGCCTATATGGTCGAATTGTTGCATAATAGTTCGATAATGTAGATACCTGCGTAGTTTAAGATTGCTTGCGCTTCTTCAGTTTATTCGACACGTCGAGTCTAATGAACAGTATGAATAAATACCTAGGTCTTTATGGATATTCGTACTAACAAACGGCATTGTGTAGTCTAACATAATATTTTTGTATTTCTAATTCAATTTTTCCATGCATTTTGCTGGTTTATCCAACGCCATAGTTAAGTGGGAGCGTCGATTTCGAAATACCGTTAGTTGCATCTATTATTCGTACTAGAACTAGATAGCTTCTTGTTTATAAATTAAAAGTAAAACAAGGAAAAATAAACAACATTATTAAGTCATAACTATAATATATTGCAATGAATTTTTATCAAGGTAGGTCTAGAACCTACTGATTTATAGAGAGCTTTCACGACACCCATATCACAATCTTAAGGTATGTATCTTAATTACTAGTAAAGTTCAACAATATACACAAGAACTTTAAAGTTTTCCAACATAACAATTTAACATTCGGGAATGGTTAAGTACCTATAATAAATTTTTAATTTAGATTCTGATGAATTATTAATGAGTTTCTAAGTGTTCCGATCATATTATACGGAATAATAATTAAAAGGGCGAGATCTATTCAAGTGTCAGTCCTCATTAGTAGTTGTGTTGGCCATTGCAGTGTTGACTGTGGGTCCATAGTAGATCAGTTCTGGGATTTGTCCCCCTTGTACTCCTGTGCCATTGGTGCTCTCTGAAGAGCAATGAAACTGGAAGGTCACTGTCCCCATATACACTTCACTTAAACCTTCTTGTCCAAAATAACTTAATTCACTTCCATCAAGTATTGCTGAAGCAGTGTAAAAGCACTCTGGTTCAATTTGTATTGGGTTCTCAAAGTACACATGGAAAGTGTTACTTGATCCATCCGAGAAGAATTTTGTATTATTTTCTGCCAGCACTCTGCCAAGACGTTTCAATTCAATCTTGACATTGTAGTCAGCTGCTCCATTTGAGGATCCATAAAGTCCAAATCCAACAACAAATATCCTTTTGTCAACACAAAATTGGATGGAATCACATCTGCCGCGATACCTCCATTGATTGCTCCTGTAGGCACATGACTGGAACCTGTGACAGATCTGTAAAGTTATAGAAAGATTGGTTTATAACTTGTATTCTTTTAAGAACATTCTTAGAAGTGGATTTAGAGTTATAATTACCTGAGCCTTTAATCCAGCTCTCGCCTTAATTGGATAAGACAATTGTGGCTTGCTTGATGCAGTAAAATGTAAAAATATATCAATAGTCTCTTGTGGGGTCAAAATACCAATCTGAGCAGCACTGTTAGCAAACTCCTCTAATGACATAGTAGGGAATCTTATCAAGTATATGGCACCTCCCAACATGACTCTTTTGTTTGTTGGTGTTGGATCTATGTCCCTGCGCATACATTCAGCATGTGCCCATGCTAAGGCTGCCTCAAATAAGTTGATTTCCTTGCAATTGAGTGTTTCCCTCGCTAATACTGATTCTAGTGTTGACACATCTATGTCAACAAAACCATCTGAAGTCAGGGCCATCTCTGCCTAAAATTAAACAATATTTGTTATAGAAGGTGAAGGATTATTGAAACTGCAATACAATTTGTTCAATAGTTTATTCAGATCTATATTTTACATCAAGAATAATACAAAATTGCCATAACAACAATTACATGCATTGCACAACATACAAAGAGTATGTACAATATAACATTGTATACTAATCAAGCAAACTGTATTGCAGTTAATCTAGCTCATGTTATAATGACTAGAGACACACAGAAAGAGAGCTTATTGGAATGTTAATTATAGAAGCTATTTACATAAAAATAAATCATAACAGCATTTCACCCTTAAGCCTAAAATCACAACCTAAAATTGAGTATACAAATGCATATTTGTGGCACAAAATATCATAATTATCAATATGATATAAATTTTGTACATATTTTTTGTCAATTTAGAGAGTTAAAAGAGTGATTTGTTAAATAACTTTCACAATATAATAATTTCCAATGTATAGGGTATAAATAATATAGTTGGTCAGAGATCAGTCCATTATAGGCAAAATAGAACAATAATAGAATCCTTAATTATAAATACTATGAACATTTTCCATGCTTTCTGGACTAGAGAAATTTCGACTGGATGATTCTGATAGTTCCATCAAAAGACTGCTGTAGGACGATGAAGGTTCAAGACACATTGTGGCGAGATTCTCAGTAGATTCACATACCTGGGCATCTATAACTTCCCAGCATCTCTGCATCAGCTCAGGCTCTTCAAATAACCGGGATTGACTGAGTAGCAAGCATGCATTCTTTGCTGTGAGACTAGTTTCCAAATAATTGACACAAGCTTTGGCCAAATGTGGAACAATATATTTTTTGGCAACATATAGAGTTGATAATACTGTATCTGCTTCTAGCTGGATTTCATCACAGTAAATGTACCTAAAACAGAAAACACAATGTCTTTTAAAAAAGAAAGTAGTCAATATAGTTTGATTAACCCTTTGTTTGCCAGAGTGTGTAATTTCTATTGTCTCATATACCGCCAGACAAAAGGGGGCAAAGCTATTTTCACTTACTTTAGAAGTGTAAGAAATGCAGATGGTTCTACATCAGGAACTTCAATCTCTTGCTTGCATTCCGCTAATCCCCCATAGAACATAGCATAAAATACAGAGCTGGCAGTCGCTAATACATATTTGTGTGCAGGTATTATCTGAGAGTGGCCTGAAATATCATAAACAACACTTAAATTATTATACAAACAATCTACATTTGTTTAAGGAAGCAATTAGTCACAAAATTTATCAAGTTGAGATAATAAATTCACTGGTGTAAACATTTTCCTCAATAGGTATTTTATTAACATAATAACAACAATAAACAGGTTTTAATAAACAAGTGTGATACATACCAGGCCCTCCAACTATGAATGTGACATCTGACATAAGTTGGTTATTGAACATAGCTGCATTTCTCTCCCGCACAGTGGGTTTAGTGGCTTGCCAATTAGGGTCTAAAGTGGCCGCGCCAGGCGGAGGGGCCGGAGAGGTCGTGGGGGAAGGCGTTGCACTCGTAGAACCGCAGGGAGACGGGGGTCCACTGTAGCATTGAGACACCTGAGTGCCAGTCTCACGCTGCGACACCGTGTGCGGCGGGGACAAGGACAAACTTCCTCCATTGTTGATGTTCTCAGCTGGAAAAAGACAGAAACCATATTGTCAGACGATAGTTATAAATATCACATGCACTCAGCACTAGAATTACGACAGCGAGCTAAATTAAATCCAGGGAACCATGACACAGAATTTCATTCCTTCAACTAAACAACTGTAATTAACCCATTTGTTGACCTCTACAATCATTTAAAAACATTTAGGTAAATTGACACATGAATAAATCAATATTTACAATGCTTTACAAGCTCACCATTCATCCAAGCGTTGGTTTGTGCCACGGACATGCTAGGGATGCTGTCCTGTAACCTTTTTTGAGGTTTTGAAACGTTTCTAGAACACGAATTCAACATAGTGACTATGTGACCTCACAATATTTTAAAATTCTATCGCAAACATTCAGGCCGCGAGCTTCTAGTCACTGACGTCAGCCATTTTGTTTGCTGGCAGGCGGAAAAGATAGTGTTGTCATTGTATAAATATGAAAAATATACAAAGTTTTAATGTAAAATTGTACGTATATGATTTAAAGATTTTTTGTGCTTTAAATATATATTTTGTTCATACTCTTTGTAATACGCGTCAAGATCAATAACTCTTTTAAAAATTGAAAAAGCAACGTACTTGTTTGTAAACAAAAAAAAAAACTATTCATTACAAGTTCTTGCATGTGGTGATTTAGAATGTTTCATGATTTCGAAATATGATTCTAAAATACTACTCGGTATTTAATATACAACGGTCCGTCTTATATAAATTGTCAAATTTACAAATTATGTTATATTTTACTCTTACTAAAAATAATATTTTAAACAATTTTCTTTAAATTTGTATGAAACATTTAAATGTCTAAAAAGTAGAACTTCGTATATTATTCTATTCATAGCAACACTGGCATACAGCCGAGGTCGCGCCGGTCGTCGCGCATGCCACAGAATATCCACCCAAGTCCAAAAGACATCTTGTAGTTCGTTCGGAAATATGAGCTTTGTTTCATAGATTTCTTCTTTCACGTTATGGACGTGATATAGCATTATTACATATTTGTAAACGAGTGGAATATTAAAATCGCAACTGATTTACAATATTGGTTAATTACTTGGTCAGAGTTTACTACTTAGGTTGGTATTATTGTTATTGGAATGTTCAATTGGAAGCAAAGCAAAATGTGATTTGGTAGATACCTGGCTCTCGCAAGTTAATATTTGGGGTTCTATCCATACCTCCTATTTTTCAAAAACATATTTTCTGTGACTGAAACGCCCAATGACTCATACCATCTTGGGTGTTCCTTATTAAATGTTCCTATATAAATACTTGGACCTGTACGTAATGTTTATTACCTTGAACTATTTGTCGTTGCCGAGGCCGATATCCCTGTCGCGGTTCTTGACAATTTAGTTCGGCGAAACGCCCATCTTCGTCGATGAGGCTTTCAAAGAAATCCACGCTGCTATTCATCGAGGATCGCACGTGTAGATGACAAGCATACCCAATAAAACTGAAATAAAACGAAAATAATATTAACATTAGCTTCACCTATTGCAATAATTTAAGAATTTTAGGTACATATAGGTTTTATAATTAAGATCTCATTTCATCGTTTGCTTTGGCGCCTTTAACCTTTTAATCATGGTAATTCTAGACACAATAGAGGAACAATAGTTGCGCGTACGCCGACGTTCGCTTGGGGTTTGATGAATTAAAAGCAGAAAAATCTCGTTAATTGTTTAGGTAATGTAAAGTTTCAAAAACGAAACGAGAGAATTAGTATGTAGGACTTCCTGCAGAGTTTTGGTATAAAAACTATCCTATGTTCTTTCCCGATTTCCAAACTATGTATGTGTGTATCAAATTTCACCAAAATCGGTTCACTAGTTTAGGCGAGAAGAAAAGACAGCTGGCAGAGTTACTTTCGCATTTATAATTATAATATTATTAGATTTGGATTTGGATTATTTTGGTTTCTATTTGAATATATTACTTATTATCGAATTACCTATTATATTCGGCAACAAAAACTGCAAAGTTATGTGCAATCATTGTCTTATGAGCATTATTGAAAATTAATTTAATTTTATGTTACAAAATATTTAATTTTTACTACATATTTACTCATAAGTATGTGATACCTACTTGCTATACGCTGACAATAGCCTCGATAGTTAATCATAATTAAAAATTAAAAATTACATACATTATAGCTAATTTTTACGCAAAAAAAAATAAGTATGCTCACGTAAAACTCATTGGGAACATGGGAAGATAATTAATCAATGCGCATATTTTAGCTTCATAAATTAATACAATAGGTAATTTTGTATACGATGCGTTGCTTAAATGCTTACCCACTAACCACTGTTCCCATTTCCACTATATCTACTTACACGGTTTCATACTGAAGTTTTTCAAAGAAATCTGCTGTATAAATGTATATAACTAATCTATGTTGTAAATTATACTATTGTATTCAGTACCTATTAGCCAATATTGAAATCGAATCATCAATGTGCCAAGGTCAGTATAGCAATGTGACCTAAATAGCCCACTGTAAGCATTTTGGGGTCATACAAGGCCTCAATAAGGCACCGCGGCCTCGGAAAGAACGGGGTGTTTTAGTCAGTTAGAGTCTGTTAGCCTCTCGCTCCACCCTGGGCGGAAGAAGTCATTTGATGATTTTCCCCTTACAAAAAAGGGTCATCAAGGTTTGTTAAGAATTTGTTTCTAGTTAGAGGTATTTTTGAAAGATTGCAAAGAATTTGTGTCGACCATAAACAACTTGGAATGAGGGCAGGATCGTAGAAGAATGAGGATAGATAGTCATGTAACTTAGCTGCAGCCGGTTGCTTAGCCATCGCGCCAACCGTGCAGTCAATGATTTACTTGGAATAGTGTTTATATGTATACTCTTTGGATTAACTCATCAACTCATCTCTGGACCTATAACAACTAACACTGCGACCGGGAAATTGCTTTAAAATTGTTGTGAGATGTCACGCTTATAATAATAAGTTGTTCACGGAAAATGAAAGCGACTGGATATTTCATTATAGGTAAAATACGAATATATATGTATATGTATATATGAAGTAGACCCATTGTCTATCCCTACCACTATATCCCTAGGGATATAGTGGTAGGGAGGTATGCTTCAAAACTACGATACGATGCTTCAAAACTATAAATATAAAATTTTTAAATATGTAATATTTAAAAAAGCATCAAAATTCGTTGCGTGATAAGGAGAAGGAAAGTTCAAAGTGATAAGGAGAAGGTTTATATGTACTTAAAACAACATTCATTAAATAGTGGGGAAATTTAGTAGCAGCGTCGCTACGACGTCGGGTCGCTAGTTATAAGTCGATGTAACTAACTGAGAAAACGTGCATTTGTTTATCCCCTCGACTATCAAGAGCTGTGGTGATACCACCCACGCACATTTTATGTAACAGGTCGGCAAACGAGCTCGACGGATTACCTGGTGGTAAGCAATCAGCGCCGCCCATGGACACGGAGCAACGGAGGAGTTACGAGTGCGTTGCCGACCTTTTAGGGATTAGGGATTTGGAGATTTTGGGATTGGGGAAAGGGAAGGATTGGGCCAGTAACCTAACTCACACGGCGAAATACAACGCTGTGGTTGTGTCACGCAGATTTTCTGTGAGGCCGTGGCCGTGGTATCACTCCGGTCGAGCCGACTAAGCTATGGCTCTCTCACATTTATTCGTATTAAAATTCGTATTCGTATTTTCACAAGAAACGTTCAAACACAGGTCAATGTTAACGTTAATAAAATTGTTTTATTTTATAGTATTGTGCTATTGTTTTGATGCAAGCATCGTATTCAAACGATTTCGTATCCCATTGCGAAAGTTCTAGAAATTTTGAAGGCGACCTTTGTGACAGGGCTTAACGATGATCGATGTTACAATGAAAGTGGATCAAGACTAGCTTTTGTGTGCTACAAGTTTGTAGTGACTACAATATGGTTTTCGCACAGCAATATGTCTAACTGACAGTTTATGTGACAGGCGTCATACAAATGTTATTTATATGTAGTACTGCTTCCCCCACTACATGGGACTAACCCCTTTACATTCATTATTAACACAACTGGTGAATAGCACCTACCTAAATATGTCTCATAACACTTACAACATTTTTTTTCGTTAATCGACCATAAAACAGACGCTATGTGCCAGCATTATTTAAAAAAAAAACTGTCTAAGCCTTAACTATCTGACTACTTTGAGGAGAAATACCTACTCAGAAGTCTGTTTTAAAGTTGGAATGTAAACTTTTTGGATATCGTCATCTTCTCCATCCGTATCATGTCTGTTGTCTATTGATAAGGAAATAAGGATAGCTTTTACCCCTTTGTTTAATTGAGAAAAAAAACACATCTTAATGTTTTTCGACTTCGAAAACGATATTGCTTGACCATGTAATCAAATTTTTGGTAATCACTTTTATCTGGTAATCGTAATTGAAAAGAAAGTCAATAATAAATAAAATACAACAGGAAAAAGATTGAAATAAGATCCGTTTCCAAATTGGATTTAACGATTTTGACCTGAAAGTGACCAATACCGGTTCATTTATGATTATTGTAATTCCATTAGGTACCGTTTTTAAAAACCGCCAGCGAATGTTGAAAATATAAACTACAAATAAAAGTATTTCTATCGAGTAAATACGCTTTTAACTTCTAAATTTCTGGTAAGTATCTTTTTTTTTAATTATTACTATTTTTATTTTTACAATACAATCATGTAACTTTTTAATTCGAATTGTTTGCATTCCGTTTTTCGAATTGCATTTTTAAATTTAGATTGTTCTATTTCATCTTTCTCTATGACCAACTTCTGTTCTATTTCACGAATAAGCCTCATCAGTCCACTGCTTAGAGAATATATTATGCCATTTTTGGTTTTATCTCTGGATGGATTGTTTTTTGGGTTCTAAACGTATCTCTAGATTATATTAAGGCAGACTGTCTAGGATTTTTATTATATTACCACCAAAGTAGATATTGTTCACCAAATAATCGTAGATATATCGTACCTAACTTTTGAACACCAACGTTGTAAATTTTTAAGTCACGATGTTGCCAGTAAATAAAATTTAATTTAATTTGATTCAATTATTTAGTCACGACTTTACAGTGATAGATTAGTATAGGTTCTAACTATCTATAACCCTGTTCGTGGTTCGGCAACGACACAGCGGCGTAAATAGATTTTTTGTCGCAGGTTTTATTTTTCTATTTTTAGTAGCAAAGATATTTTGCAAAGTATGTTCTGTTAAAGTAAGTTTGATTGTGGGAGAGCCATGCTTCGACACGAATGGGTCGGAACATCAGACGCGTAAGCCTTCCCCTTCTCCCGTCCCTCCTGAATCCCTAAATCCCCATGTAACCCTAATACCTACCCAAAAGTCCGGCAACTCACTCATAACAGCTCTTATGACCTTGCGGGTGTCAATGGGCGGCGCCGATTATTTACCATCAGGTAATCCGTTTGCCCTTTGTCGTAAATAATAATTATTAAAAAAAAAATATTCCTTCTTAGTGTATTCACGTATGTAGGTATTCTAATATTGAGTGTACCTACAATAAGTTATAAAGGGTGTTGTCGCTGTCTACCTATTATGTTTTAGATATTAATTCCCATGGTGATCACATAACACGTTTATGTGCTAAATATATCAACACTCACATAGTTAGATTTAATTTATAACAAGTTTAATTTAACTCAAAAAGCGTTTCTTTAAAATGTTGTTTTCAAAATATTTCGCAAGACAGGTTAGGTGTTCGTTATAAACTTGTTTTTCTAAAAATATTATGTAATTTTATTTCTATTTATAGATACATGTGTATAAAAATATTTGCTCCGATTTCTGCTACTTTTGTTGTTTTGTCCATAATATCCTTTTTTAAGACTCTTGTTCGTTACTTATGACGCTTTGGCTACAACCAAAATCAATATAGGCCTGAAATAATAGGTAAATATGCAGATAACTTAACATTACATCTGGTGTTAAAAATCTTCTCTCTTACTCCATCAAACTTTCTCTTGTTTTTTTCTATTTCCATCTATTATACTAACATTATAAAGTGGTAACATTTGTAAGTTTGTATATGTAGGGGTAATCAGATCCGCTAGTCGGATTTCCAATTCTTTCACTAGATAGCTAAAATATTGCAAAGTGCTATAAAATATACATACATTGCGTACTTTACGAGCTGTCGCTTTAAACACTTTTTGTGTCTTTTTGTTTTTTAAATTTCGGGATAGATTACTTTTATTTGTGTGCGAAGCCGCGGGTGGAAGTTAGTTAGAAGTATTTTTATTTTAGTTTTAAGCTTCTTTTTCTAACTGTACTTTAGTACGCCCTAAGTTATTTGAGATTGGTACTATATAGATTCTTTTCACATTCTCTCTTATGCATAGCTCATAAGAGAGAATGTGAAAAGAATCTTGTGAAGGCGCCATCTTATCACAAATTCTTTTCTCTTCTGTGCATATATTTTTTGCATTTGTTTTCTTTTTTCGACTTCTTAGTTTTTGTCCTACTGACTATATTCTTATGAAATAGTGATATTGATGGTTACTTAATTAATCACACACACTATGCTTATTTCTTATCATCGTATTATACATACTACAATTTTCTACTAGAATTTTCACTTTATCATCATCATCATACCTATTTGCCGTCTTCGCACATACAATTATATCAATCTTGTCTCACTTATTCTCCGGTGTAGTATCAGCTCGCCCCCTGGATCTTGCCCCTTCCGATGAAAATGTTCCACTCGCCCCGTTTTTATTAATTTGGAGTTGTGGTTCGCCCCTTACGAAAACCCTTACGGGGCGAGTGAAAAATTTAACAATTAAATAATTATTTTGAAGCATCGACTCGCCCCTTGCGGCATTCCCTTTGAAATTTAACTAAAAAAGGTATATTCAGAAAAATGTACAGTAAACAAAACTGGTAAGTAATTTAACCACTTGTGATAGTTTTATTACCTAGCTTACCTACTGTAACAAAAGGGATCTTTTATGGGACCATTATTGAAGTTTTAAGAAAAAATTAACTTTTAACTAACCAACAATGGGGGGCGAGTTGGAGTATCTAATAATTTAAGGGGCGAGTTGATGCACTTAGGCAATCAGGGGCGAGAGCCAAGGGGCGAGCTGAGCCTACACCTATTCTCCAGAATTACTGGATGGATTTGGCATTCGTAGAAGTCCAGGAAAGGTGTAAATAATATTAAAGCGGAACCAAACATCAGCCGGTCAGCTTATTTCTAATAAATTAGACAGAAAACGAAAACTAATTAGTAATTAGGTATGTACGTATTCAATGAATGAAATTGTCAAAAACCTAAATATTTTAATTGGTACTTAATTAGTAAAAATTTACTAATCAGGAACCCAATTATTTTACATGCACGCATAAACTATACATATTTGCGTTGAATTAATTGAAAAGAATGAAATGTATCAACACTAAAAATACCTTATCACCTAGTGCCTTTTTTCTCTTTGGGATTTTTACCCGATAATAGCCCGGAGGCTGTGTATGCGTGGTTAATAGTAACAAATAGTAATAAACTCCATCCCCATTGTAAGGGGTATCCTATTATGTACCTACCTATATGTGTTATGTACACATCTGTTATTTGCTACGGTAAAAAATATCGTACTCTGTCATAGAATGACGGTTTTAAAACTCTTAAAATAACGGTTCGCCTAGAATTGTATTCTACATTTTTGTTCGTTGTCTTTATTATAATATTACTACTACCACTAGTTTCACAAACTCCTATCTGACTGTCTCAAGAAGACACAATGTCTTCAAAGTCGTGAATAGTACGTTTAATTATTATGCTTCGAATAATTATACTTTAGTTTTAAATTATTATTGTTTCTTGGCTGAATTTAAATTCAACAGTCCCTACCTACAAGAAAAGGTGTCAAATGATAATAATTTTCTTTAAATTTAAAATAAATTATCAAACACATTTCCTGGTCTTTTAGATCTTACAAGATGGACGACAGGACGATGTTTTTATTAAAAACTAAACGTGTTAACGTAATTGCCATAAAGTTTTTTTTTTCTTTGAACTTGAATGTCACTTTTTGGCGCCAACTAGCATTTATGTTCCAGTCGTGGTTCCAGTTAAGCCAGTTTCGTTGCAAATATGTGATGTGACTATACCGTACAAAAATACAAGCAAGCTTTTATAGAATTTAGTGAATATCATTCTCGATTGTATATTCTCAAGTTTCAAAAAAAAAATGTTTTTAATCTGTGATCTTTATTTGCTTTCGACCTGCCAATATTAAATAAGACGATAAACCACCAAGCAATATTACAGATATACAGATAGGTTTATTAAACGTTGCTCTATGGAAATACTTAAAATCAAATATCTATTCTTAATTTATTAACTAGGAAGTAAACCGACTTTAGTTCCTTAAACATTTTTAGCTTATTGTTTGGTTGAACTAAACTTTACTTCGAAAAAACTAATCTGTTTTATTTGGTTTGTCTTTAATTTTTATATTATATATCTATATCCAAGCATCACAACAATAATAAACAACTACTTAATTAATAACTTTGTGTAGGCATTATTTATACGAAACCAGTACGTCCAATCAGAGTTGGAGTGCGGAAGCAAAATTATATCATAGATAACAACCAACCGGTAAACAAAGAACACGAGGTCAGCTTTGGTGAAGATCCAGCGCAGGAGTACTTTCCCCAGTACCACGGGAAGTTTACTGGGCGCCCTGGAACTCCTTCCCTTCATTTCATTCCTTCGGCACACCGCAGCCCTTGCAACATGACCACAGTTTGTCAACAAACTAGTTAATGGACACAACACTTCACTTATACTACACCGGTTACCGAACTATTTCAAAAACGGAACTGTTTTCGGTATTCTTTCCGTGAATCAATGCGCTCGCGCCAGTGCGCTCGACCGACTGCGCCCGATCTCATAGCGCAAGCGCGGCTCACGAACACCGGCGGCCCACTCTTGCGCAAGGCCACTAGGGACACCTGCCTCTATACTCAAGTTGAACTGGGAAAGTAGATGATGTCACAGTTTATCAATGCAGGGCGAAATGCAGCTATCTTCATTTATTCGCGAAATCGAGATAAACATTTAATTTCCAGTTAAGTATTTGATTTCTCTTAGTTAGCGCTTGTTTTTAATTGATCATTAACTTTCAAAAATCATCACGTATGATTATCGGTTTTGGAATTTCTCTGTTGGGACATTCTGCAAAAATATTGTACCTAAGAGCAGATAGTAGATTCTAATTATTTTTTTGCCTTGTCATTATTTGCTTGTCGTAAACCGTTATATATTCTTAAACTGATCTTATCTATGAAGAAATTCTTATATCAACAAAATGTGAAATATTAAATTTTGGAATGGCTTACCACAAATAGCTTTGTGCTAACAGTTTGCACAGGTTTTATACGATTGTCCCAGATGGCATTTTATTTCTCTAACTTTACTTTTTATTGCAATCCACCAAATATTTTTAACTAGTAAGAGCTGATTTTTCAATAGTCAGGTAAATGTTATCTGAGGAATAAAATTGTTGCTGTCACTGTCTTATACAAACATTCTGACGCGATAGCATCGTAATAATTATTCCCCAGATAATTTTATCTAACCATTGAAAAATCAGCCCTAAGTAAATGAAAAGACTGTTTATTAGAATGGAAATAAAGTAACTGCGGGTTTTAGGAAAAACAAATATTTGTTTAGTAGTATCTAAACGATTTAATTAGCTGCTTAGCACGCTACATTGTTGAATGTTAAACCACTTAGAAAATTTATAAAATGTTTATCGATTGTAATTAGGTCAACGGCAGAAAATATTCGGGTAATGTTTGATGAAAACCTACCCCCTCCAAAGTCCAAACATGCAATATTTTGTTCACAGTCTAAATTCCTAATGAAAACAAAGTAGGTATTTCAAAAGATTACGTGAATTCATAGCACATTTATTTTTAATTTTAAACGGTACTTAGTTACATATTTTATGTCGTTACGCCTTGGAAGGCGAAGGCATTCGTGTGTTCAGCCTAATTGCTTATTGTTACAAAAAAGTTTTAACTTGTGTCACCTAGTGGTTATTAGTACACTTATTACCAAACTTCATGTTATTTTTTATCGTTTTTGACTAGTTGTTAACGGTGTTTTGTGGTGTCTAGTAACCTTGTAAAACATATTTGTTTACGACGCAAGTTAATTACTGACATTCCTTTGACTACCAAAATTATCCACTGCTGTAGAAATATGGATGTTATTGATTAACGTTTTTGCGTGACTTAACGACAGGTTCGTGGATGTTTATTTAAAAATCATGAAAAAAAAGTCTTAAATATCAAATATGTATTGCTGGTGGATTATAAAAGGAATGGAAAACGTAAACAAAGGTTATTTAAATACAAAATCAATTAATTCGTTCACTAATTAAAATAAGTTCAATATATTTCTGAATTTAACATATATATATAATAAACGCGAATCCCAAACGAGCTTGTCCGTTCATCTTACCTTCTTTAAAAAACCCACGATGCAGAAAAATAGGGAAATCTACCATGATTTTCCTTTTCTTTTCGAAAAACAGACGGAAAATTATTTGTGTTTCTTAGAGGCTAAAGTTTCAGCTGTGCTTTGTCTGTTTGCCACCACTAAAGTGATGGTTTTATACGTATTCAAACTTTTTGATTTTACACGAAAGAGTAACACTCTTCGATCCATCCATATAGCCATGCATTCGTGTTTATAATATGTATTAGTAGAAAATAGGATTGTACCGATGTAATCTATGTATCAATATAAACAATCAATCAATATAACCCTGGAATACCCTGTCCTTCTCATTTTCACAAAGTCATTTAGCTCAAGACTCAAAGTGATTTTGAAAGCAAACCGAGGCCGTGTTACCATCACTTAGGTATGTGAATTTTTATGTTTATTTAATTCACACCTCATATTCATACGACGAAGGAGGTTAGTGCGGGTGGCATATACAGATTATACAGCCATCGGCATTCTGAGCGCGCCTGCGCAACCTGTAAACAGACCATATACATGCTATTGCTGACTGAGAGCGTCTTTGTTTTCGTATCAAACACGTTTGTTTGCCGGCCCGTTATGTTCGATTGTAAAGATTTAAATAGCTCTACATTTAACGAGCATCTCGTGATGATAGGATTCTTTAATCCACCCAAGTATCCTTATCGCTTATGGCGTCTTTTATTAACATGGCAACACATGTTTAGTCAAGTGTTTTATTAATAGTTCCGTCTAAGCAATAATTTTGGCTTCTACTGCAATAGAAATAATAAGTGTTAAATGATTTTTTTTTATTATAATGGCCAAAGGATGTGTGATGGATCAACTTTTGCTGTCTTAGCAACTGACCGCGAATTGTTAAAACAATTTTCTGAAATAAGTTCAAGTAATATGTTATAGATTCCATTATATTATGTTATAGATTATTATCAGAAAGTTAAGGATCGGTTCTATTTACACTAAAGGTTTTATGAGGAAAAGACAGAAATTACTCATGATAAAAACATAACAACTCTCATATCTACTGGCTCCCCCCTATCGGGCGCGTAACCTTTGCTTATAGTACAATATCTAATTCTGAATACAAATGATCCTCATTATCTTTGTGATTTCAATTACAAATACAAATAAGGACATAAAGCGACAATAGGAAAAATGGAGAACATCAAAGCCAGTAAGCATTGTTAAGACAGAGGTCAACAGGACTTGTTCCAAGAATAGCTTCGCGTTATTTTTCCTCATGATAATTTTGTCATAAAAATAAGATTTAATATCAGGTTCTGTTCTAATACAGAAAGAATTTTCTAGCTAAGTTTTTTAGCTAGTCGATACTAATCTAATAAAATGTCATACGGTTTTTTTTTTCAATTTTATCAGATGGTATAGTTATAGTCGGTTCGCATCTTGTCTAAATGGTCAGACAAAACTGGATCGTTTGTTTGATTATAATTCTTTTCACATCCGAAATCGTAAAATCTCTTAATCAAGCATATAAATCAGTTTTTATCTATAACATGACTAGCTTTCTTATTTTACTCTTTGTCCCAAAATATGTCATTGTTAATGTATCCCTACATTACCTTGCCCTCTCTACGTTGATTCTCATTCCCCCAATATCACGGTCTTTATGGCGCATGTTTGTTTTGCATCCACTTCAACTAGACACTAGGGTTCATATTATTTTTATTGGCGTTGAAGGTTCCTTTCCATGCCAGTTGTAAGATCTGTTCTATCAGATTTGAAAGCGGATACGTGAATTTTATTAATCGCATCAGGAAGTATATGCGTAAATTACGTCATAGTTATACCTTTTGAATGCTGATCATTCTTCCGTGTTTTCTTTGATCATCGTTTTCTTAGTCTGATCTTTTATCAAAGGCAATCTTCAGTAAGGATGGCACTTAAAATTAAAATCAGGATTTCGCCTTGAATTTGTTTTGAAATATTTAGTACATGTAACCTTCTGTTCTTAACTGGTTGATACGCCTAGTTCATTGTACCTTCTTTTGGCTAGCCGTCTATTTCTACCGTACATTGGACTTATAATAGCTTAGTTTTGGCTTTACTTATCATAGCCATTACATTATTCATATTTTTATGAGGGGAAAATCATCAAAAGACTTCTCCCGCCCTGGTTAAGGCGAGAGGGAGTGTCAGACTCTTACTGACTAAAACCCCCCCGTTCCGTCTCCTGCTCTAGGCCGAGGCCGCGGTACCTTATTGCGCTTGCCCCGCAATACATTAGTCATTGGAGAATCCTTGTGCGTTGCTGTGATGACTTTGTACCATTATATGGAAGCATGACTAATTTAATGATATTTTCAATCACTTCATTCAATTCGTTAGGGAAAATGGATAACCCTGGCATGATAGTGATATTTATAGATGATGATATGAAGATTATGTTAATTGACGTAAAAAATTAAGAACCGTAGAAGCTATTGACAAAAGAGGAACAAAAAAATTGATCAGTCTTTTTGAAAGATAGGATAGTTGAATGTGCAAAGTAATAGATTTCCTAGCATGAAGATCCACATTGCCGTTGACATTCTCATGATCAGATACGCAAGTGTCGAAAACATGAGTAACAGCCGTGAACTGACAGAAATTGATAATACATATTTGTATCGACCGCATTGTGGAAATAATATGACCTTTGAATTAAATGCGTATGAGCGTGGAGTGGCGAAATGTAGACACATGTAGGAAATTATGTATATTTCTTAAAGAAACACAAACTTTGCTTAATTCTTCAGGTATTATAAGGTCATCTTAGTGCTAGTAACGTAATGAGTTAATAATAATCTGGGTCTTCTTGTCTGGTTTCCATTTTCGAATTCGAATAATGATTCGGGTAGAGCCTTAGGATAGAATCTAAAGAGGTTTGATCCGAAAGTAGGTAATCAACAAGTATTTTATTTGCTTTGGTCGTTAACTAACGGACAACCAACTTAGTTGAGGCAAATCCCCATGCTAATGGTGTTATACAATAGCTTTCAAATATTTTAAATCTATACTAATATTGTTAAGCTGTAGAGTTTGTTTGTTTGAACGCGCTAATGTCCAGAACTACTGGTTCGAATTGAACAATTATTTTTGTTTTTGTTAGTCTATGTATTCAAGAAGACTTTAGGCTATAAAACATCAGGGGCAGCGGGTGAAGCCGTGCGGGAATAGCTAGAGTAGAATATTATGACGATTATTTTATTATTCGCTACGAAATGAGTAGTCTAGTGGGTCTAACGTCTTTAGCTAATTTTTCCTATTTTGTGTCGTGCAGTTAATCTACGATCCGCAATGCACCAACCGGTCCTAGTGTCGGAAACTAGTGGTCTGGCGAAGGTGAAGGTTAGCCTACAATCGCGCACTATCAGTTTTCTAGGCTAGTGGCCCCGGCTTGCATGTAATACATTACTTCCTTAGAGTTTAGTGATAGTTTTGATAAGTAAAAGCATTAGAAGTTACAAGGTTACTCTATGCCTACACGATGTTGTTGGAGAAGTTTTTTCCCGCACTTTGTTGGAGTATTTTATAAGATGATATTATATTCCTCAAAGATTTTTGAATATTCGTCCAACGCATCGCATCCTACGCTGCTTATTAATAAGAGTCCCGCTGTGCCTTGAAAATAGTAGAACTATTTTCAGTTCATTCATTTGAGTAAGTCGTTATTTTAAATAAAACCCTTAAAAAAAGATATTTATGTTTTTTTACTCTGTTGCTGTCTAATTTTTTTTGAATTGAAAACATCATTAACCTTAACTTATTTATTTTGGCTGTCAATTAAGCAAAATAACTTGATGATTAACTACAAAAATACTTATCATAGTTTTTTTTAAAGATCACAATTACGTTTCGTGTTTACCACTTCAAGTAGGTACACTAATCCTTCACTTTTTAACAAAAAGAAACTCGGTACCTACATTTTGGGTGACTCGTATTTTATTTCGCAACACATAAAACAGGTTATAATTTCTCGATTTTTTATGTTGAATACAGTATTCTTGTAGCCATTGCTCAATAGTTTCCCTTGCAGTAACCTTCAGGCCACAAATACGAATACAGCATGCAGATCGTAACGTAATTATAGAGACATTAAAAGTAGTTCGTTTTGGCGCCAATTGCACGTTCGTAATATAAACAAAATGGCCGTGTCTGCTTTGCTTTGCATTATTACGTGTTTAGTGTATTTATTAACAATTAAAGATGTAGAATTTAACTGTATGGGAATTGATATTTGTTGTTGTCATTCGTTTTACATTCATAATGAATAACTATGATAAGTTTTCCTAAAATCTAATCAGGCAACTTTTATGAGTTGTTGCTCATTAGGTATTTTAACACAAAGCACCTACCTATTTGTATTTAGTAAGTTTTTTCTAAGGCTTGTGAATTTGCCCTTTATATATTACAATACCATTTTCATTATACACATATTTTGCACATCTTGAATATGTAGGTAGGTACCTACCTACCTGGGTTTTACCACCTACGAAAACAACGTTAATAATTATAACCTTGCCAGTAAAAAAGGGACGATGTCACCATAATAACTCTTTATATTAGGCACCTACTAAAACCGTATGCAAATAGAATACCTTTATAACGAAACTAATCATAGCAAAATCTGGTCGGGTCGTTGCAAGAATAAATAAATAGGTACATATTTATTTATTAATTACTAAATCAATTAAAAGTCTTCTATCTGTAAAATCAAAAAAGGGTCCATGGGCAGCGCTAATCGCTCACTTTGCCACAAACAATAAAAAAATCTTAGATGTTCCTCGGATTATAATGCCCTACAGAAGTGGTTAAATTGCTCTTCCTTTTAATGCGATAGATTAATAAATAAACACAGTCATAGTCAAAATATTGCCTTCTCAGACACTACAAATCGATTCATACATAATTAAAATCGATTTCTTTCATATCGATTTCTCGACTAGGAAGTAATTTACGAGCAGCGATACGTGCGAAAATGTCCGGTTTTTTTCGTGTGTTACGTATTTTTCGTAGTGTATTGATTCGAGTAATGTTTGTTAGATTTTAGTGTCTCAAGTTTAACCTTATATGTGTCAAGGAAGCCATTCGTTATCGGATCAGGATATCCTTGTTAAGTTACGGTAAATACCTACGGTTTGCGTTTACCGGTTTTACTATCCTTTTGTTCGTCTCAGATATTTAGTAATGTTACGTTAATTTAAAGATCCGCTCGAGCTATTTTATTCATTAGCATACGGAAGTACTTATTGGTAACAAAAAATCCCAAGAACGCAGAACGTATAGAATTAAATTATACGATTTGATTTACTGGTTTTGGCAAAGTTTGTTGACCGGTGCCAACATAATGGCACTCGTTTGGCGTTGTGGGTGTTCATGGGCATCCGATTGCTCACCATCAGGTAATCCGTCTGCTCGTTTGCCGACCTACGTTGCCAAACCAATCCGTAACGAAATAGGTAGGTACTGCTATGCTCCATTCCACGAATACAATATTCAAATCTATGCATGTTAAATATCCATGCAAATACTTATTAAAACTATTATTCTTATAATTAAATCCCATAAGTGTTAGGCCAAAGAACAAAGCATATATTAAGCATTTCATTAGTAGTGTCTATTAATCCATTTTGTAAAGTCTTTGCCAATCTTCATAATGATATAATAGAAGGGTATTAACCATTAATGTAATATTTTATACCTTCTTCGAGTACTTTAATACGGTTTCACGCGCTATAACTTTTTTCCCAACACGTCTTAAATTTCGGTTTCCAAATCAGCAATATTTTTCTGCAATACGCTTTGTTGCACTACTGGAAACTAATGAAGGCTAAAGTTTATTTTGCGCTTTTTTTTAAACATCAGCGTTGTGTTTTGCCCTGTGAGTGGTTATCGGAAGCAGTGGATGTAGCCTATGTTTTAATCCAGGGTATCCCTATACCAAATTTCAACCTTATCGGTCCATCCGTTTTCGCGTGAAAGAATAACAAATATGTATATTCTCCCAAACTTTCACATTTAGGTAGGTAGGATTGCAATTCTTTTTTAAAATTTTATTGAACCAAATGAAACAAAAGAATTTGGATTGGATTTCTGATTTATACCAAAGAGTCCATAAACCTCTTGAGGTCATAAATGAATTCAAACTTGCTGTGAAAATAAAGTTGTTCAGGAAGCTAACAGAACTATAAATAGGTAAGTTAGAATTACTTCGAAACTAATTTGACCTGTTTTATAATAAAATTTGCAAATGATATCGGTATTTTTATCAAATTCCATCCTTAATTACCACCCTCTCCTGTTTGTCTAAGAATATTTTTTTTCTCATTTCAAAATATATACTTACTTATTTTTTTAATTTTATTCAACCAAATATGACAAAGGAACTCGAGGTCAGCTTTTTTCTAATGAGTCCAAAAACCTCTGAAGGTCATAACCGAATTTAAACTTGCTATCAAAATAAAATATTTTAGGAAGCTAATAATAGTACATTATACGAATTCATAATGCCAAAAAAATCCTTTTTTAGTTTTATTTTATTTCAATAAGAGCAGTAATAGACTAAAGAATAAGACTATCACTTTATTTATTGCATCTTGATTGATTAGATAAAGATAGTATGCTCAATTTATTAAAAAGTTTAAACAATTCGTACTCAAACTATGGCTCAAAATATAGTATATGGTAGAGAGACAACAAAACAGCATACAAAGCACTATACCTCATAATCGGAATCACACGGTTTTATAATAACACAGCGCAATTTTACTTGCGTCACTACAACGTGGTGTGTGTATTTAAGATATTAGAGCAATTTATATTAACAACAGTTACATACGACTATTTCAATGTTAACTTTAATTATTGTAAGGCCGTATATACATTATTATGTATTTGAAGAAGGTTTGTATTACAAGCTGTGCTGCCTAAGATTATAGATTTTGTTTAGGCAACCCCTTTTCTATGTGGGGAATATTATCAAATGACTCTCATCCAGGTTGAGGAGAGAAAGAGTATATCATTCTTACTGACTAAAAACACCTCTGTTTCTTCTCCTGTTCAGGGCCGAGGCGGCGGTGCCTTATTGGGCGTGCCCCGCTTGGCCCTCACACCTTGGAAGTAGAGGGCGCTGGGGCAGTAAATGGCTTCAGATGATAATAAATAATAGAAAAAAAAAATATGCACTTAAATCGATTAAGAGTGAAAGACTGCATTGGAAAGTGGAAGGAAATAATTACCAGAGTTCATATTCAGCCCAATAAGACTGAGTGGTTTAACACAATTGTTGCCCCAGACTTAAAACTTGTATGGCCATATTTGGTACCATAAACATGGTTTGAGCCCATTAAAGTTTTTCATATCACACAATAAGACGTCGTAATGTTCCCAAGCAATATTGCGTGAGAATTTCCTGTTTCACTGATGTAATCTTCATCTAGGCATCCTGCACAGCTGCTGCTGCTGCGGTTTTGATTACAACATTTTCTAAAAATTACTTAGATATTTTAAAACTGCAGATTTGTTTTTAAAGATGTCAAAAATTTGTGTTCACAACACTACGTGCATTTATCTAAATTTTCTCCAATACTAACCATTTTCGGCATTAAATACCTCTAGTTCTTATCTACAATGGTGCTGTACTTAGTCGGTTGTTGTTCCCTCTTCATCCAAAATGGATAGCCTCTATATAAACGCCCCTCGCGAAGAAGACACAACGAAGAGGAAAGAACAAACGACTAGCCCGGTAAAATAGCCTGCAGGGATAAGCCCGGTAAAATAGTAAACAGCTTTTGCGTCCTGATCTATGAGTGTTCCTATCAAAAAGGATAGTGTCTCATTCAAATCTTCTTTTTCAGATCCCTGTTTGTATATTCTGCGTTTCTCATCACAATTGCAATTTGGTGAGAAATCTCACGAAGTCAGTATGACAGCACTGCGATTGGTTCAACGTATGAAAAGGGATTCAATACACTCGGGACGCAGACCATCTGGGATTTGTGGAGCTGGTAAGTTAACCGAACAATATTTATAGTTCTCATAGAATATTTATATAGAAAATTTATTCATAAGCGACTTTTTGACTGTTAAATCTTTAGCTATCTGCGGATACAAAAAGATTTCAAACTAAGTCGAGGGTACTTCACGAAGCGGTGTTTTGGTTTTCGCTTTTCTCCTTTGGGATATATATATGTTTTTTTTTTGTCAATTTGACCAGTAATAATCATGGCCATAAAGTTCCAGTTAATTTATTAGACGTGTCAGATATTGGATTAAACGCTTGTTAGATAATGACGGACTCCCATGGTATCGGTGCTCGAGGTACGTCCTTGGCTATCTTTAAGACTTTTCTTCCAAGCTAATATTGGCATACAAGATCCACTCACGCTCATACTAGTGAAATAAATTTAATAAAATATGAAGTATGTTAAAAGATAAGCTTATTATTGTCCTTTTATCGTAAGGCTGTAAATATTTCGATTCATTGCAACATGTTTGCCATATAAGGCTCCGCGATTTTACCAGTGCGCACTGATATTTGGCCTCCTTGACATATTTATGGCTCCCTTGTATATCGATACTTATTTTTGTCAATAAAGCTTTAGTTCACAAAAAATTGTACAAGAAGGTCATTGCGTATTTTTCGGTTTTTTTTTATTTCAATCGAAGGTTCTAGAATTTACACCTTTGTTATGCATTTTTATATGAAACGAAGCGTTTTTAACTTGTATTTGGTTGGCAGTATGTAAAGACTAGTGGTCGCCTTATGGGGTTAGGGTTTCGGATATTTAAGAATTGGGAAGAAATGGGGGAGAGGGCCTCAGAGGATGGAGGAAGAGGATTGGGCCTCTAGTAACCTCACGATGGACAATCATACGGCGAAACACAACGCTGTGGTCGTTTCAAGTCGGTTTTCTGTGAGGCCGTGGTATCACTCCGGTTGATCCTACCCATTTGTGTCGGAGCTTGGCCCGGGCGACATTTAAAGTACATGTAGCGATTTATCTGTTTGAAGTCCTAAAGACTTATTTCTTAGTAATTTGGTATTGTATGCTTTGAATGTTAAAGAAATGATTACGTAACAAAGCATTCTTGGACAAATACATATGTCCGTATCAACCAACCGAACACTTAGTATCTACGGAAGCTAAAATTATCCGCACCAACGGCCTTGGGTTTAGTTCATTGTAATTCCTTATTAACTAAAAGTCTTTGATCTTGATTGACAAGTTTCCTTGTATTGTCTGGAGAAATAAAAGCAAGGTTTTCGTTAAGGGAAGGTGTAGAAATAATATCTCCCTTGTTTTTTTTTTTTTGTAAGTAGGTACCTACAACTTATTGGAGCGTTATAATACAAGCGTCTTGTCATACAACAGCAACCCTTATTTAACTTTGCATAGATTTAAATCGAGGAAGAGTTGTGTAGTTGGAATCTAAATAAGTATGTAAGGTTCCCCTTATAATTTCTGCTTATTTCACGATAGTATCATCAGGCCTGATTGTATGTTCCTATTACGCCAGCTGTAGAACTTATCCCATTATTTTGACATTTTTGGTTCCTGAAGTAGTTTCGTTTTTGACATTTCAATAAAAGTATTGAATATGACAGTATTGTCGTGTGCACTTGGAGCGTAGATCCAGTTTTTTGAACTTTATGTAACGAATACTCAAAGAATATTTTTCCTTTATTCAGCTCTCTTAATAGCAGCGAGGCTGCACGAATTTAACCGTACACCGGCCGATGTTGTGAGAATCGTCAAAGTTCATGAGTCGACACTGAGGAAACGACTTCTCGAGTTCGGAGACACGCCCTCCAGTGCCTTAACACTCGAGGAGTTCATGACCGTGGATTTGGAAGAGGAGCAGGACCCTCCAGCCTTCAGAGCAGCTAGGAAGAGGGATAAAGAGAGACTACAGAAGGTAATGTTGTTGCTATATTTAAACTATGTATAGGAGCCCAGCAGCGGGTAAAACCGGGCGAGAATATCTAGTGTTAGTCTATATCAGTCTGACAAATTTGGCAAAAAATATGTACATATGTATGTTTTCGCATATCTCCGAAACTACTAGTCCGATCTAAGTAATTCTTTCTTTTTGTTTTACCAGATAATATTCAACTTAGGGATACTAAGTTTCATCGAAATCGGTTGCGTGCTTTTTATTTTTATTTTTTTGTTATGAATATTAAATAATTGTATGTATGCAAATCACATTGCATTAAACAACGGAAGTTTTGCATTTTTAAATAGGTAGATATGTTTATTTATAATTTAGCAGTTCAAAAAACTTTTTTTTTATTATTTACATGTAGGTATTGTTAAATTATCATATTGTAAGGAGTCTTTTGGTTAAAAGAATCGTCGTTCTTTGTGTTGGCTGTAAAATATTTAAACTGTTTTAAAATTGGTTTTTCAATCTGATGTTTATTAAAAAATTTTCATACTGAGGTTGAAGAACTTATAATAATATACATAAGGTACACATAATACTACAAACATTCGTATACTTATATCTTGTTCACACGTGAGCTGGGCGTCAAACTCTACATAATTTCCATTTAAATTAAAGTTTTCGTTGAATATCTACAAGTTTAAATGTAGTCTTTAAAATAGTAATGAAACTGTTCTGCTCTTCGAGACAAATGCAATTCCACCAATCAATGACTTAAGGTCATAAAAATCTCGCAATGAGCCACCGCTGCCTCGGCTCAGAGCAGGAGAAGGAACGGGGGGTTTTTGATAGTAAGAGTCTGACACTGTCTCTCTCCTTACCTTGGGCGGGAGAAGTCATTTGACGATTTTCCCCTGACAAAAAAAAAGATCATACAAATCTATCAAGCCGTTCTTGAGTTTTAAGCTAACACATTTTTTTATACCCAAGTACGTACTTATGTATTAATTAATCGTATTTCATTGCATTCTTAAAATCACCAGTCATATTTAATCCATTAGCGCTATATCACCAAAGATTATTTGTATAGCCTAAAAATATATACCTAGTCTTATGTCAACATTAATGCGTCTAGAAATACTGGTTGGTATTATGTATTCCAAAATCAGATTTGAATTTAGAATTAATATGTAAACTGGCGTAGGATCAGATATTACAAACGTTCGTTGTAATAATCTTGCTAAACTAGGTAGGTATAAGTGTAGGTTAAGAAGGGACCTACCTATTGAGGCACCGCAGCCTCGGCCTAGAGCAGGAGAAGGAACGGGGATATTTTAAGTCAGTAACTGTCTGACACTACCGCCCGACCCTGGGCGGACGAAGTCATTTCATGATATTCCCCTCACAAAAAAAAAAGTTAAGAAGGTATTAGTTAGAATACATACATATACATATGTATACATACATATAAGGAACATATTTAATTACTAGCTACTCCCGCGCGGTTTCACTCGCTGCTCGACTCCATTTAATCGTAGCGTGATGTTTTATAGCCTATAGCACTCAGGAATATTGTAGCTATCTATCAGTGAAATAATTTTGGAAATCCGACCAGCAGTTCCGAAGATTACCCCCTACACACAAACTTGCAAACATACAAATTTTACCTCTTTATAATATTAGTATAGATTTTCTTCGCTTATACATAATTGATTTCTTTAACGGCTTACTTAACTTAAATGTTTGACGAAGAACTCGATTAGTTTCTAGACAGGCTAGGGGCTCATATTCATTTGCAGCATTGTGTGGTATTCGACGTGGCGCTAGCCCAGCTAACTAAATATAATAATTCATTTAATGTATTTATTTATTTATTTATTTATTTAAACTTTATGCAACAAAACATTACATAGGCGGACTTAATGCCGTAGGCATTCTCACCAGTCAACCTTAGGGTGATGCAGAGAGAGTATGGTAGGTGCAACAAGAAGAGAACTTTGAGACGATAAAAAGATTTAAAAATAATAAGAACACTAAAATAAATATATATATATAGAATATTATAATAATACTGGTATATGGTGGAAGATTAATAAAAAAAATACTCAATACATACTGTATATACTTACATAAATAGTATACATATATATATTTATATATATATGAATAATATTATACACAGTGAATACATAACATAAGAGTTTTATGATGATGGTTCTACCAACAGTCCATTCAAAATGTGCTTACGCAATTCAGCCTTAAACGATTGCTTACAGGTCGCCTTCCTGATTTCCAAGGGCAACCCATTCCACAGGAGAATGGATTGAATGTAAAAGGATGAGTGGATAGTATCAGAGCTATGAGAGGGACAATGAAGAAGAAGGTTATGAGAAGAGCGAAGATTTTTGGAATGACCAGAGTAGCGGTAACAAAAGTAGGAGGTTAAATAAGAAGGCGAAGTTGGAGAGTTGATAAGTGAAAAAAGAGTTGTCAAAGCGCGAAATGCTCTTCTTTGGCGAATTGGCATCCATTTCAACTCGGACCTGTACTCAGAAACATGATCGTACTTCCTCAGGTTAAAGACGAACCTTATGCAGTTATTGATGAGACGATCAAGTTTATTGAGCAAATCCGAGCCGAGATCATAGTAACACACGTCACCATAGTCGATTATAGGAAAGATTAAAGACTGCACAAGCATTGCCTTCGTCCTAGGTGGTAGAAAATTCCTTAGTCGATTTAGACAGCGCAACGTCCCCATCACCCTCTGACTAACACCTGAGACCTGAACCTGCCAGCTCAGCGTAGCATCCAGATGCAAGCCCAGGTCCTTAACTGAAGGACTAAAAGGGACGACGCTTCCATCCAATGTTACCGAAGGAACACTTTCGATCTTCACTCTGCTCATCATTCGAGGACTGCCGATAACTATGGCCTGACACTTGGCAGAATTGACTGATATGCCAAATTGACTAGACCAACAACTGATGGTTGTGAGATCATTATTCAGCTTATCGATGGCTTCGTGCAGATCTTCCGGCCGAGCCTGAGTGTATATCTGCAGATCATCGGCATACAGATGATACGAACACTGAAGATTAAATGTGATAAAATTAATAAAAAGAGAAAATAACAGTGGAGAAAGAATACCGCCTTGTGGAACACCAGCTTTAAGCTCGTGCCAATCTGACACAGTCTCGTCAACGCGAACCGCCTGCCAGCGCCCCCGAAGATAAGATGAAAACCACTCCAGTGCCCCAGGCGAAACCATAAGATGGGAAAGAATGGATTCAAGGATATCGTGGCTGACGGCATTAAAGGCATTGGAAAAGTCAATTAAAACCAAAGTAGTAACTTTTGTGTCTTGAATCCCTTCTCTAATGTCGCCAGTCACTTTGAGAAGTGCTGAAGCGGTGCTGTGCCCCGGTCTGAATCCGGACTGTAAAGGACTTACAAGGTTATGCCGGTGGACGAAACATGACAGTTGCCTGTGCACGCACGCCTCTAACACTTTGGAAAGAAAGGGGAGGATAGAGATAGGCCTAAAATGGGAGGGAAGGGTCGGGTTTGTGATTTTTGGAAGGGGACGGACGTAAGCATAACGCCACAGGGAAGGAAACTGTCCTGAGTATAAGGAAAAATTAATGATGTGGGTAATGGATGGCAAGATATACTCAAGGATAGGGATAACCATACTACGACTAATTTCATCATAGCCAGTGGCCTTCGATTTTATGGATAGGATGGTTTTATTGATATCGCCCGCAGACACCGGAGAGAATTTGAAGGTGTCCGAACAAGGATGAGGAAGGTTTTTAATAAAGTCTACCGTTTGCCGAATGGTTTGACGATCCAAAAGGGCAGCAGTTGTAAAATGTTGATTTATATCATTCAAACCAATCGTCTTAGGTAGCTCTATATGATTTGATTTGCCGATACCTATTGTTCCAAGGAACTTCCAGGTATCAGCCGCAGAACTGGTTGATATATTATCAAGAATATGTCGGCGTTTAGCATTACGTATCATCTGGTTACATCGATTTCTGGCTGACTTAAAGAGAACCCAATTCTCCTCCGACCTATCACGTCTGTACCTCCGAAAGGCGCGATTCCTCCGTCTCATCGCCATACGTACCCCCCTCGACATCCATGGAGCCGGCGGACGTTTAACTTTAACACTTTTGATTGGTGCATGAATGTCGTAGAGGTTTTTGATCATGCGATTTAGAGTGGCAACCTTATCGTCAATAGTGGGAGAATCGGATACCTCTGCTTCCCACTCAAGCTCGGAAGCGTCTTTACGCAGCTTATCCAAATCTATCCCCGCAAAACAACGCATGCGCAGTACTTTAGGAACAGGTTTAGGAGGCTTTATGTAGTAGGATACATAAATCAGGTCGTGAAGGGAGAAACAAGGAGCAGGACATTGACCATGAGAGGATACGTGAGATGGACTAGAGGTGAGGATTAAATCGAGCAAAGTGTCTTCACCTGCAATATTGCAGTGGGTTGATAGGAGAGGTGAGACGTGAAGACTGGCTGACTCGATGATATGAAGAAGTTTGCGGGAACGGGGGGAGGACTGTAACAGGTTTGTATTAAAATCGCCCATGATGACGTGATGCTCACACACAGATCCAATGGATTCCAACGCCAGCTCTAGATCAGAGAAGTAGTCCGTCATTGGTGGGCAATACACAACACCGATGAGAACCTTGACTCCCGTTATGCTGACTTCAAGGAAGATGAATTCAGCAGACGAACTATAGTTAGAGGGAGAAGTTGCAAGAATTTTATAGGGGAAGTGACTTCGAAGATAGATGGCAACACCACCACCCCCCCTTCCGGTCCTATCATTTCTGATAAGAATAAATCCGGGAAGAGAGTAACTAGTGGAAGGAAGGTGCGGTTTGAGCCAGCTCTCAGAATGTATCTTACGACATTTATTGGATACACGAAGACCGAGTATACGTAGGCTTTTTTAAAAAAATGTTTTCCATCATTAGGATACACATTACACCCAGAACCCGGAACAACAATTTGTAGTCCACTCAGAGTGGTTCCGTGCGGGAATTGAACCGCAAATACAATACAGAACAGGTTGCCTAGGCACCTCGCCAATAGTGCATTCAAAAATTATGTTATAGGTATAACATAATCATATTATACTTTCAGATGTTTAAGTAAATTATATAATTATCTATAATAATCCTTATTCACAAATGTAACGTTTAGCTTAAATACAAAAATATACCCTGTGTGTATGTTTACATAAGAAATAAAAGTAGAAATTTCGATGAAATTAAAATAATCCGAAGAGAAACTTTTTAATGCCGATATCCGCGTAAAAGTCGATTTAAGAGAAACATAATTGGCTTTCTACAACAGGATATATTAATGTATTATATATTTATGTAAGTATATATATTTTGCAAGCTCAAACCGGTTTTGCCGTTTGCTCCTTCCGTATCTTTGTTATATTATACATATATTTATTTATATACGAAATGTTTTGGTAATATGTTACACGTCATAACGTCATTAGTAGGAAATGATTATACTAACTCGTTTTTTGTGAGAATAGATTTGTATTAGTTATTGTATTGTTAATTTTTCTGTCAAAAAATGTTTAATGAAACTTTAAAAATGTTTGTTGTTATTGTAAATTGTTGCGTTGTTACAAAATAAATTCGGTATCAACTATAGCAATATGGCGACATTGGGATATACTATAGGATTTGGTAATGAAATGCAATGAAAAAGTAATCAACACTTTGGTACGAGCAAATAGCTTCACTAAGAGGACAGACAGACTGTCATTTTTTGTCTTTAAATCTTTGTTTGATATTGAAAAGCGCATATAATGGTCTAATTGTAATAAGTGATTATAAAATAGAAATAGTGACTTTGACTTTAAAACACTTTGTTTTCATCTAAACAAAGGTTTGACTTTCAAAGAATCAAAAAATCAAATGCCTCCCAGAATGAACAGTTTTGATTAAATACGCTTGCTCTAGGCGCATTCACAATTTTATCGTTAAGTTTTCCTACCATTTTTCTATACTCATATTATAAAGAGGTAAACTGTGTTTAGTGGGTAATCTTTGAAACATTGCTGGTCGGATTTTCAAATTCTTTCACTTATAATATGTTCCGCAGTACTTTAGGCTAAAAAATCGCCATAAAAATCAATGGGAGCCGAGCAGCGGGTGGGCGCGCGGCAGTAGCAGTGGCTTATCTATACTTATAATAAATCTGTAATATCTTTCAGTTAATGGAAGAAGAAGATGGTGAGAAAGAATTAACAGAACTCCAGAAAGAGATAGAGCACCAGTTAGAAAAAGATGGCAACAAAAGAAAAAAGGTAGCTGCTGTGATTGGCACATCTACAAATGTATTGGGCATTGGTAAGAAGTTATTTAATTTTACAACTATTTTTAACCCCCGACGCAAAAAGAGGGTGTTCGGTGTTATAAGTTTGACGTGTCTGTCTGTCTGTCTGTCTGTGGCAACATGGAGCCTGAACGGGTGAATCGATTTCAATTTAGTTTTTTTTTGTATTAAAGGTGACTTACGTGCGAGTGTTCTCAAACATGTTTGACGAAAATCGGTTGAGCCGTTTAGAAGTTATGGGGGGGGCGGGTAAGTGGGGAAGGGTAACCAAAGGCTCGGGGATTTTTTAAATTTTAAATTTATAATAATTACATAAGTGCATTATACATATAAGAAGAATATGACGACATCTGATACACGAGAATGATAGAAGAAGGCATATTGCGCTGACTAAATAATAAAAAAGCATGGGAGCGCAATTCGCAATTCCACCATGGCCACGACCGCGGCCTCATAACAAATCGGCGTGAAAAAAAAGTGAGGAATGTGAGATCTATCCTCCTCCTCACGCCCCAGCCGCCGCAGTAAGCTCCGGGCGTCGGGAATCGAGAGACGATCACCGGCCACCGTAATCGCAGGTCTGGGGAAAGCGAGTAAGGGTTGCTCGCCGCTCGACCAGAACCAGAACCGAGCGTATGGCGCGCCGCAAAGAGCCAATAGACCACTACAGACGGGGTCCTACAGGGCTGATGTTTAACCCGGGTTGTGGGGTAAGCGCAGCGCAATTAGACAACGCGGCTTCGGCCTAGAGCAGGAGAAGGAACGAGGGGTTTTCAGTCAGTAAGAGACTGGAAGAAATAAGAGTCATTAACATTGTAAGCTATCAGTGAAAGAAAAATCCGCCCAGCGGTTCCAAAGATTACCCCCTACATACAAACCTACAAATTTTACCACTTTATAATAAAGTATAGATTAAGTTGTTATATTAAAATTACAGATGAAGCAACATCGGAAGATGTGGAAGCGTCTAGATTCGCAGCTGAGGATGCTCTGGACCTCATCGGAGAGATTGCTAATGACGTTACGACCAAAGAGGATGCAGTTGGCTCTAAAAGCGAAAAGATGAAACATGAGAAAGGACTTGGTATGAGAATCCCTTATGTAAAAAATATAAAAGTAATATGTTTTGTAATCTATAATCTGTTCTTTCAAAGTGAAATTTAGTATTTTGCCCCCTCAAAAAAATCTCTGTTCATGTTTTTCAAAATATTGTATCAATTGTTGTAATCATAATAAAACCGCTTTTTTCTAGGCCCAGATTTAGCCGTGATAGGCCTAGGGTCGAGTCAGGAGGACAAATCCGACAAGTTCGTCCGACCAGAACCGAAACAAGCGGCTAAAGATCTTCACAATGCCGACGAGCTGGTGCTAGACCAGAAAGACGAGGAGTACATCAATTCTCTGATTATGTCTGATGAGGAAATGAAGCATAAAGCGCTACTTTGGAACAAAATCAACGCTGGATACTTGAAAGATCAGAAAAGTAAGTTTTCGATGAACTAGTATTCTGCTAACTTAACGTCTTATATTCGTATTGTTTATTGAAAAAATACGGCTGCATCACGTAAATGTACTGATAAAAACTCTACTAGTTTCATGTCATAAGGGGGATCTTATACATGAGCAGCTTGCGAGTCGAGGTGAAGTCGCGCAGCTGATTGGAAAGGATGTACTGTTTTTGACCAGGCAAATAGCAATGTAACTGTTTTTGAGATACAAGATACTTTCTACATTTATTGAGACACCTCAAGACAAACTTTGAAGAAAAACATCTTGAGGAAACCTGGACTTATAATTTCTAATTAAAAGTTTGAAATCGCCAACTTGCCTACACCAAGCGTGGTGATTAACGCTCAAACCTTCTCCTTGTGGGCACTTATAGGCTGATGAATACATTGTCCAAAATGGAGGGCAGGAGTTTTCATCAAAGCATTATCATTCCTTTGTTATAACGATACATATCGGGCCCAAATTATAATATTAATTAATTATAATTAGTCTGTGTGGTTGAGAACCGCTCGTGGATTAGGGATTTCGGGATTGAGGATTTGGGGACTGCTACTGAGAATTTCGAATATTAAAGTAGTGCTGATAAAAATAGCCTACGTGTTAATTCAGGGCATCCACCTATCAACTATATGGCCGTTGTATCTTGGCGAGTCTGAAGTTAGCCGAGTAGCCGCAGTACACAATTTTGTTCCTAAAAGATCCATTGCGCAGACAAACGGCTAACTTTAGACTCGCCAAGATACGTCGGCCGTATTGTACATACCAAATTTGAAACATATCGCTCCAGCCGTTTTTGCGTGAAAAAATATCAAACATTCTCACAAATTTTCACATTTATAATACATATTAAATGTTAATAATATAGGATTTAATAATACTTTTCAATTGACCTCCTTTTTGTTTTTCATCGTTTGAAAAACGAATCTCGTATCAATTGTAATCTTAATTTGTAGTTATACAATGTTTCAAGTTAAAGAAGAAATGCGGGCAAAGGAGCGAGAAGAGAATAAGGATAAAAAGAAGAAACTGCGCGGGTCTTATAAGAAGAGGACTCCGTGTAATGCTGCGACCGCGGGAGAAGCTATCGAGAAGATGATAGCTGAAAAGAAGATTAGCTCTAAGATTAATTATGATATTCTTAAGAGCTTGGATCATCCTGGTACGCCGGTACCACCTACACCTAAAGGAACTACTGTTGAGTAAGTACAGCTTTGTTATACTTTTGCTATTATATTATACTAGCGGTCCGCCCCTGCTTCGCACGGGTCCAACTATCTCGCTATCATAGTGCCACTTTTTCCTAATCTTCCCCTCTACTTTTCTATTTTCCTACCTTTTATAGACCTTCTCCTGACAATAACAAACACAACAAAAAAAGAATTAGCAAAATTGGTCCAGGCGTTGTTGAGTTATGCGCTTACCAACACATTTTGCGGTCCATTTTTATATATAAAGATTAGTATAGACGACTTACGCACTCTGTAGCTCTCAAGAGGTAAAATTTTTAAGTGTCTGTGTAGGGGGTAATCTTTGTAACCGATGGTCGGATTTACAAAATTCTTTCACTGATAGACAGCTACAATGTTCCTGAGTGCTAAAGGCTATAAAACATCACGCTACGGTTAAAAAGAGCCGAGCATTGGGTGAAACCGCGCAAGAGTAGTAGTATTTAATATTTTACTGTGTTACAAAACCTTGGAAGTCCTTGAAGAATTTTCGTTTAAAAATTTTTCCTGGTTTTTTTTGTAAGTGATATAAAAACTAACATTTTTATTTCAATTTTCTATTCTAGTAGCAAGCCCACAACGCCAGCTGTGGTCCCAGAGTCTCCCGTACAGCGCAAGCGCAAGAGGAAGATCCAGCCGAACCTCTCCCCTCGCGCCCCCGCCACACCTGCCCCACCCACACCGCAGCCTGTTGTCGGTAATTTATCTACATGTCTCAAAATTTACATGAAAATAGTAATAGTTTTAAATCCAACTTATATTCGACTTTATGTCAAAGTAATAAAGTTGAAACTTAATATGCACACACCAAGTAATCATGCTGCCTCAATCTGTGAATGCTTTTCATTGTGTTTTCGATTTTAAATCAAAGTAGTAATGGTTAAAATAAACTAAAAATATTAAATAATGCTAATAGGTCACCTAGTCACTCATATCTGCCAATGTTGTTTATTGTGTTTTCGACTTTGTATCAAAGTAAAGTTGACAATGAACTTTAAATGCATGTTTAATGTTTAAATCAAAAATAAAAAAGCAAACTTTTCTATTTATTCGCTACGGCGGTTAAGAAGCTGTCTGATTACTTGATGATAAGCAATTGGCACTACCGATGAAGACGCACTACAAATTTCACAAAAATTGCAAGTGTCTTGCTGGCCTTAATAATATGCATAAAGCTTTTTAGGGATTGGGGAGTGATGGGTGAAGGGAAGGATGCGGGCCTTGGTAATCGCTCAAACTGAATTAGAACTAAATAAACGTAATTGATGTCCGCAGATATTGCAGAAGATTACGACGACGAAATGGAGGCAGATCCAGTGGACGTCGGCGGTGAGCTCTCTCTAGCGGCCATGTTGCAGAACGGACAAGAGGACGATTACTACGGCTATGAAGAATATTGATATCAACTGCCCATTGGATGTTCAACGAAGTATAAGACATCCAGGAAATGTAGTAAATATATTCCTTTATACGTTACATCCTCAAAGTCTACTCAGAATCTGATTTGTAGAAGTGTAACTATTGAGGATAATGTCCCAGGTCTAATTTCTTGGTTGGGCAATGTTTTATTGTGTGTTTAGTTCCTGATTAATAACTCGGAGTATATAAATACGATTGCCCTCTTGTCGAAATTTGAACGGGATTGTGCTGTGCTGCGGAGGTATCTTTTGCCGAAGAAAAATTCGAGATGTTATTAAACCATCTTAATTCAATATTTATTTTTTGGTATTAATTTTATATTAATCTGTGGCAAAGGAAATTTAGTTAACCACTTTACCGCCATTGTATGAAACAAAACAGAGAAAACATTGACTCACGCGATCCGCGTTCCAGCACACAATAGCTTCAATAACAGTTGTCAAACCTACATCTTTATGGAAGCTGTCGGATAGTTAATTCCATTACAAAGTATACTGATAACATATTTACTATAAGAATAACAGCACCTTTCAAAAAGATACGATAATGTATTCGCTGGAAGGGCAAGGAAGCATCTTACATAAACATATGTCATTTTATTTCTAAAATACAATCATCATGCGTGAATAAATTCAAAACATTTTTCTTATATGATACACAAGCTATTTTACAGTAGACTGAATTCTAAATGTAATATTTATTAAACTTATTGCATCACTACATACAACAAAGTCGCTTTCTCTGTCCGTATGTCCCTATTTACGCTTAAATCTTTAAAACTACCCACCGGATTTTAATGCAGTTTGTTTAACAGATAGAATGATTAGAAAGGAAGGTTATATGTATAATAACATCTATTCATTCATCGTCATCAGCCTATAAGTGCCCCAAAGGCCTCTTCTCATACGAAGAAGGTCAGAGCATTAATCACCACGCTTGCTCAATGCGGATTGGCGATTTCAAACTTATAATTAGAAATTATAAGTCCAGGTTTCCTCACGATGTTTACCTTCACCGTATGTCAGTGGTTAGACACCACTATGTGAAGGTGTGACATGTTTTGAAACATTATAATCATAGAAAGTACATATAAATCGGAAAAAGTCACATTGGTACTTGCCAGGTTTCGAACCCACACTCTCATGCATGAGAAGCGGGCTCCTTAACCTCCGGGCCACCACGACATTTACTGCACTCACTGCACACAAAATCTATTAAACAGTGGAGAAATTTTGTATCGGCATTGCTTGAGCTAGTACTACCATATTACATATAATTTTTTGTTTATTGCATATGTTTTATACTACCAAAATATAAATACAGCAGTTTATTAAAGCTTTAGGGGGAGATACTTATTCAGCATGAAGTTTCATATGTTAATTAATATATAACTAGGCCTTGTACCTAGTAATTTTGGACAAATCAAATGATTTCTTGTTTGTTGTAAGTAAAATTTATCTTTACATAATATTGAAGCTTACGAATAATTTATCTTGACAACATAAAAAGAAATAACCTAACCAACTCACTTCAAAGTTAAAAGTTAAAATTATTCTTTAAAGATTACATACTGATTACGGTATAATAATTATATGTCTATGCCTTTTTAAAAAGTTTTTTTTATGTTCAATGTATGTTGTTTAGCCTGAGCTAGAGTATTTTGTCTTTGTCTTTCATTTGTATATCTAGTATATAAGACAGAGATGCAAATATAAGCGTTTATCCGCTATAACAGGTCTCGTGTAACTCCAGGGTACCTATGTATTGCATGTTGTTACGAAATCACGGAAATAACAAGCCAATGACGTCACAATTTACTGTTTAAAAATTTGACGTCATAACATCAATTTTAGTAAGAATGAATAATAATTATAACTATTATTGTATCATCATTTTAATATTATTTAGCTGAATTACGTTTTACTTTTCTAGATTTTAGTTAGGTTAATTCCTAGTTATAAATATGTATGTAAAAATTGATCCTAAATATTATTATTATTAGTATATCACAATCTGGAATTTGTGAATTAGATCTCAATTTATTTTTATTTTCGTTAGGCTCCTTAGTAAATAAGGATTTCGTTGAAAAAGTAGTGTTATAAGTTGGACTATTACTTTGTACTAAGCACCGATCAGATGGCATGATTCTTCGTGCCTTATGATACTAAGATTTTATTTATTTAACACTAGATTTTGCCCGTGATTTTTGGTATAAAAACTATCCTATGTCCTTCCTCAAGTTCCAAACTATGTCTGTACCAAACTTCACAGAAATCGGTTCAGAAAAGACAGACAGACAGAGTTATTTACGCATCATTTATAATTTTAGTTTGGACACACTATCATTACATTATTGCCTATACAATAGTGGTGTCCACGTTTATTATCCAATACACTTTCCAGGTGAATAAAATAGTAATAAGTTCCAGTGGATTGGCTGTTAGTGTCCCTAAATAGGGCCTGACCTACCTAAGTTTGTGTGCCCCGATGAATCGTGCCGTGTGATAGTCGCTTTAATATGAGCCGTCGATATGCGTATGACACAAAACATGTAGTTACATGTTTGTATGTAGATAGCATAAGGGGTAATTCTAACTTTAATATATTTTGTGATTGATGTGATATGTTTTGTTTAGCGCCGGCTGAAGGCACAGTTGGCGAACTAGCTTGGCAACTGACTGCTATTCAATTCAAACACGGAGCAACGCCTTGTGTAGGTAATCCACAGATTGATGTTCCGGGTCTGGGTGTAATGTGTATGTGAATTTGTATGTTTGTAAATGCACACGACATAGAAATAAATCCTTAGTGTAGAAAGTAAACCTTGTTCCAGTTCAAATCTTACTCTAAATAGAAGTAAAACGAAAATTTTGAGTTCAATGCCATCTAGCGGGCAAATTGCAATGAACAACCCGTATCATCCACCATAGAAATAAAAGTTTCTCAGAATTTTGAGCTGTAATTGTCATTAGTTGGGAAATATAATTACTGAAGTTAGTTCTAAATATTTGATTAAAATATCTCCACGGTCAATTATTTGATAAGATAACGTAATTATGTTTATTTTTTTTCTAAATGTTTGTTAACTAATTTCAAATAGACTGTCATTTAACTATGAAAACATGTGACGTCATTATCTTTTCTCATAATTGAAGTGATCATTTATTACCCATTTACTTTCTTGGTATTTTTGACAATACCGAGTTTCACCAGACATTTGAAAAATAGAACACACACTTGAATTGAAATCCACCTATTCTTACTTTACTATTTAACGGAATTTATTGCGCACGTACCTTTTTTATTTGTTTTTTTTTACTTACCTTTCACCTTTATTCTCCCACGTGATTTAAAAAGATGACTAGGTAGGAGTAGGAGTATTTTCTTTTTTTTGTTAACGCGGTGTAACCGTCAAAAGGCACCTAGCTTTTGGGGAAAAAGAAAAATTACGTGTATCAAAAAAGGTAGGAGTATAGGAAAAAGTTTCTTTGGTAAAGTTGTTTGTTATCATGAGTTAACAATACCATGTAAAAATATCAGCTACTAATTACCAGTCACCCTATGTAATATCCGTCCCATGTCCAATACATGAGCAATGTATGACGTCATACATTGCGCACACACAAGTAGTACTGACAAGCTGTTCTGCTTGTCTGCTTGCTGTTCTGCTTGTCAGTACTTGTTTCTTCCTGAAATTTATTTATTTTATCATTTATTGAAATTGTATGAAAATACAATGATTTCACTATCTTCATCATTTGTGAGGAAGATTTTACAATTACCCAAGTTATGATTTGTGTGTGATGGAGACCTTTACGATCACGACATTAGGAAAACCATTTTTAAATACATATTTATAAGTCTAGCCTCACACTAGGTTTTACCTATGTAGTGAGTGATCTTGTAGGTGCATTGACAAACATACACATTTTACACACAGTTATTCTTGCTATAATACCTAATATTATTTGAATCAGACGGCTCAGTACATATCTATCTGTTAAAATATCAATTATTTTAATTTCTCACCTGTATATAGTCTAACATTTAGTACTTTTACCAGCCCATAACGGTATAATAGGGTTTTAGTTATAAAAACACCGAATCTTTTTAAAATTAGAAATACTGGAAACAAAAGATGGCGCTTTTGACTGATAACTTATTGGATTTAATACATAACTAGAGAGCCAGTTATTTTGTTCCAAATTGACGTATAAACATTGCGTATTGTAAAAAATTGTTTTCATTTTTATATTTATGACACATTGATATAATTAGGTAGTTTCCAAGGTCAAAAATAAATTAATTCGACATTTCAATACAATCAAAGATTGAAAAATAACTATACTTTTATTCATCGATTAATCGATACACTAAGTTTTAGATTTATTTTAGCTAATTATTAAGAAATAAGTAAGCTATTTGACGCCAAAATGTTATAACGTCATAACTAAGTTTTTCATACGAATTTCATCGAATAGTATAATTTTTGACGTTTGGATAAAAGTATTGAATTTGACTACTTGGAAACTACCGTTGTAATTACCGCTTACAAAACGCCTATGATGTGGCTGTTTATAACGTGGCAAACTCGTAGGTACCTACATAAAGATTAATATTTAAATAAAGAATGTAGAAAAGACAGCTAGCATTGGTTTTTTTGTATGGATGTTGTAATGTCATAATTATCTGCTAGGAATTTGTTTAATAAAAACAAACTAATATATTTTGTAAAATGTAAAATACATACAATGTAGAATTTTACAGTGTGCATACAGTTTTATTTACACCTTAGTCAAGTTTTCTTTATAATTTTAAATAGCAAATACGATTAGGTACTGATTTTTCAGTGTTCTTCAGACGTACATACTACATATTCGCATGTGAAATAGAAAAAAGGACTAACTCAAAAATGAAGATATTCCAAAATTGAACCTTATTATTGAAGCATAATTTTTAAGATTGAAATACTTTATTTTTTAAGTTAGGCCTCTTTTCTGTTTAGCAAACGAATTATATTGTGTTTCATATATTATCAGGTCTTTTTGAATTCAATTCTGTCTATCATAATGTCATTTAATTTTAAGTAAAAAATATATGCTTGAATATAATTAAAGTTCAAGTTATAAAAGATTGTAACAAAAAAGAACTGTTGGTTTAATATGGTTCTATATTTCATCCTATAACTTTTTTTACGTATACACGTATAGCTACTACCTAGGTAATTGAAACAATGACATTATCATAGTTGTACTGTGACATTATGCTTATATTAGTGTCATCAGGTTCAGTCATCAGGGTTTACCCGATTATTGATAAAACGGTCGCACTTTCGAGGTCGAAGATTTCGGACAAACCCGAAATCAAGTTATTAAAATATGTGGGTTAGTACGTGTACTCAATATAATAGTAAACATCGATTCGAATTATAATTAAACAGATAATAATGTCAATGTTGACTTATACCTATTATTTTTATTTCTCCTATCTTAAAAACACATTTTTATCTGCTGTGCATTAGTGCCCGATTTAATAGCTGTTCTTAATCCAAAATCTGGATCGATCTCTGTTTATTAGAACTACAAAATTGACAGATTTTGATCAATCTTGCAAAAATCTATCTATCTTAATTTTTTAACTGTTAATTGTTGAATGTATGTACCTACTTTAAATGTAGCTTATTCTTTATTTATTAAGAAATGTACCTACTGTAATATGGTAAACAATCAATTGTAAACACAATAGTCTTATGATCTGCCTTAAACCACAAGTTTGGTTGTAACAAAAAAGAATATTGTTAAGCTCCAAAATATAATTAATTATGTATTATGTAAATGTGTATGTAACATGAAAGCAATAAAGGAAATGTTTTTATAATATATTTTTATTTTATTTGTGTAACAATGAACTTTTATTTCTTTAAATATAATCTTATATAATATGTTTTACTCGTCATAACAAGATATGTAGTATGGCGGCCTACAGAACATCGATTATGTGCGACGACGTTGGAAACAATAGTAGGTAAGCAAGTACTTACATAAAGAACTGTAAGCTAATTATAATAATATAAATAATTGTATCGCGATGATAGGTTATTCCCAAGCCAAGCCCACGCTAACAATCAAACCTCAAAACCGGATCGGAATGCGATGCAATCGCGAATGTTTTACAACTATCTGATTACATCATAAGTCCGCCACCGCAATGATAATACAAACATACAGACAAGTTCAAACCTGCATAGAATGACGTTTTCCTACCGCGAATTTGAGTCACAGTGTGTCTGCCCGCCTTTATGTCGTCTGAGCAGAGTGCGTCACTGTGCGAGCGCTGTGTACACAGTGCATAAAACGTGTCTAGTTTAGAAATACGCAAGGATGGCAAAAGTGCATACAAAAAGCAAACTTTAGTGCTGTTCATCATGTTTAGATATTTCTAAGTCTACTGCAATCGTTAACTTATAATGTCTTAAGTATATAAATATAATGCCTATCTATCTTTGAATTTGAAATAAGAATAGACAAAGATAGCCGCTAGGCGCCGTCAATTACATCGATAGACATTCCTTTGTTTTCAATTTGCTCCACTTGGTGTAATTGGCGGGAATTTATCGTAAGTACCTATAACCTAGGTCATTTCTTATTAGGTAAGTACAATCTAGGTTCTTATGTAGGCTGTAGTATAGCTACAATAGGTAGATACAGACATGTATTTGATGTAGGTACTTACCTACTGAGTAGTTATAACCGTGACATTATTGTAAGCTATAAAATAGGATGCCTTGACTTGTTTTACTGGTAAGGAAATGGTAGTTAGGTACTATTATTGTTTTTCTTATAAAGACAATGGTGAGAAACGTGTCTTACTCAAAAGATTTTTAGTTGGTAATAAAAAATAAGCTCTAAATTTCGAACAGCTACTAGGGTCGAAAAACCTGGGAGGAAAAATATATTTAGGTAGTTACTAAAAACCTGTTTACCTACCTACCTACATAAGAGGTAGGTATTATTTACATGTAATCTGCTTCCAAGTTGTAAAGCTATAAATAAATGATAAAATTTGATTAATTGTGTTTCTGATTGGCATAAGATGGACTTGGGCCCGTGTGAACAGCACTATGCGAGCGACATGTCGCTACACGACCAGCCACACCGTTGGCCGATGCGAAGCGAACTTATAGCGACTGGTTAGGTATCAAAGTATTACGCACCAAGCCGAGTGCAGTGACTTACCAAGACTTTTAAACAATCTAGTCGTATTTATAGTGATAAATCAAAGTTAATATATTGTTACTTACATTATTTATTATACTTATTATGGGTTTCTTTTGTAAATTTCAAGAGCACAAAATAAAGAAATATTCCAGAAGTAAACTCATTGAAAGAGCAAAGAAATTATCAAAATATGTTAGTGTAAACACAAAATACGGGAGTGTCGCCATTAATTCTATTTATTTGCGCCTTTTGATGGATGCCAGTATCAGATTGCGATTGAAACGGTGAGTTGAAATTTTGTTTTTTAGCAAACCAGCTTTGTTGCTTCCTATATTAAATTAAAAAAATATTTCTTGGTGAAATTCTAAAATGGTCAAATATCGTGTTGGTTCAATAACAAAAAATTACCCATGAACAGATTAATTTAATTAAGTTTTTATAACAGTTAATATTTCAAGAGATCAAAATTGAACCAAGAACGGCATTCCATTGCATTCAGAACTAAATTAATTGTTTTGTGTCAGTCAAACTTGGCTAGGTAGTCTAAAATACCTAGATACCTAACTGTTTAATGTTTTAGAAAAATAAAAGTGAAAACTTTTAATTTACGCGCGAACAGGAAGCAGTATTTTTAATTTTATACTGATATTCTCGACTTACCAAGTGCTATATTATTTTGACAGCGAATTTGTCGTTATCATAAAAACTATTTAACGAAAAATTACATTGAAACTATTTTTCATACTATATTATTATTATTCTAATAAATAATGAAACTATTCTGAAAATCTCTCTATGTAAAACAGGGTTGTCTAGATTTAAACTCTCTTACATGGAATATGGGAATCAAAGCTGCACCACGTTGCACAAGAGTTGCTAAGATCTTGCTTACTAAGTACCCAAAACGTGTTTTTATAAGTTTCTTGTAGAAACCAGTTTAACATTATTTTGATTACATTTGTCCACCCGTCCACTAGCACAGCCATTGCGTTAACTACGATATACAATTCTCGCATTATTATCCTACAATCTTACTAATATTATACATGTGAGAGTTTGTGAGAAGTATATTTGTTATTCTTTCACACAAAAACGGTTGGACCGATTGGCTAAAATTTGATATGCACGTATATATACGGTTATACCCTCGATTCACTCATACCACGTACATACCATTTTATCAACATACCACGCTGGAGAAATTTAATATTTCATACAACGATCATTAAGTAACGTGGTTAGTATTCATTGATGGTTCTCGTATGAGTTTCACTATGGTATTGACAAATAAAACTAAAAACTTACAAATCTGACTGATTAAAACTACCCGTATATTCTCTATTCGTTTTCATGCTCTGAGCCTCTATAATAAATGGTTGCGCTTTCTCATTTTGGTAATTGTTTAGACCTAAGATCTAACTTAGAAATAAAACACTTGACGAGTCGTATTTTTTTAAATTTTTCAATAATTAAATTAGAATTACGAATGGGCCACTTTAATTATGGCAACAGCGCTCGGTTATTAGTATAGCGAGAATATCAGTTGAGCTTCAGAAATTTTCTTAGGTTGGCTAAACTGACGACACAAATTTCGAAAACAAGTGATCGTTCAGACGTTATTTATGCAAAAATTTAATCAAATAATCAGTTTTTATAGAATTGTTTACGTAATAAAAAATTGTATGATTTAAAATATACACATTATTATAATGTTAACTATGTTTCATACATAAAAAAAATTATGTGTTTTCTGTGCACATGTTGGTAACATTGTAATGTTTTCTTCGTCGGTGCGTGCACACTGTAGTGAAGTTCGTGCTGTTGTACTTGTAATCTAAAAACACATTTAGTTTTAGTTTGTGTTTATAAGATTTGATGTTCATCAAAGTGCAGTGCGTATTATTGGATGTTAGTGAAATAATGAAGAAAAGTGTGTTTATCGCTATATAGCGATGTGTGTATTTCGTAAATTGAATTGATGGTGATATAATAAAATTCATGGTGTTTCCGAAATTGTTAGTGCAGTTTGTAAAGTATAGTTCGAATCATAGGGTCCACAAACGAGGAGACGGATTCTATCATGGTCGTAAAACGGTAAGTTATTATCTACAACGTACTACATTTTTTAATATAATACTATTGAGGGTATCAATCAGTACTGACATCGAAGTAAAATGCTTTGTTTCATGGGTGGATGTTATGTGCAACAAAGTAGACCAAATGTGTATGATATAGGTAAAGCTAGACGCATAGGTATATATTTTTGTTTGTTTATGTTTGGTAGCAATTCATAGTATAATGAAAGATTTCGTTATTTTCAGTATGCAATTATTTCGTAACGTAACTGGCCATGCGTTTTACTGCACGTATTCGTATGCAAACATGCTTACGATGCGTTTTTGTCAGAATTATCGATCTTGTAAATCTAGAATTTGATCTCGAATTTCCGTCTTATTTTATTCTTAATTCCAAGTGTTTATATATATTTCCAATATTAAAAAAGCTTACAAGGCTTATTTGAATACGTTTTTTCTAAACACGTTTTTAGGCTTTGTAAAAATAATATAACCTGCTTTGTTTTTTATTTTTAAATGTTGTATCGTGATATTTACTCACACACACATAAAAAACACATTTAAAACTGGAAATCGACATAAATAACAGTAACTGTAACAGAAGTCTCTAGCTACTATTATTAGTTATTCAGGTTTGTGTGTCAATTAACATGCAGATCAGACAATGAGTCTCCTACCTTCAAGAACAAATAAATTATTTTTTTATCTTTTGGTAACTACCTACTTTTCTGTAGTTTAACATGACATAATACACAAAAATATATTTTTTAAATAAGATATTTTTTATACCTACTTTCGATGTAGGAAGTATGTGTTTGCATATTAATTGAATAATTTTTGGCAATCCCAAATAATATACCAACCTCTTTTGTCAAAGTGACCAGCAGCCCGCCCCTGCTTTGCTCAGATGTGTATTTATTTATTTATCTCTGGCAGTCATTTGTTTTTTTTTTTGTAAAACTGTCATTATTGGCTTTGAAAGGGCTGTTACATCCCTATTTCCCATATACTTAAAAAAATCATATTCCTTTTTTGGGTTTGATAATTTTTAAATGTTTTATTTCTTTGATTTATCTAATCTTTAATCCAATTTTAGATATGAAAGGATATCCTTAACATAATTGCTTGGAACAGGAAACTTAATAACATCTGTTTTTATTTATAACAAATGGATCAAGAATAACATCTAGGAAATGATACCAAATACAATTAACATAATGGCTAATTAAATATTTAGAATAAACAAGAATTTCCAAATAAATAATTAAATGATCATTAACAGAGATTTGTAATATTATTTGTTAGTAAATTTGTTTGTAATTCATAATGAAAATCTTATCTCTAAACACCCTAGGTATTTATTATTTCTTTATTTATTAAAACTTAATACAATAAGTTGTTTAGGCGGACTTATGCCTCAAGCATTATCTAACTGTTGAGCTCTAGGTGATGGAGAGATGAGAGTGGCAGCAACAGCAACTTGAATACTGCATATAAACATACAATGAGACTATATCTGACTTTAAATAAAAAGCGGCATATACACTAATGATAAATATAAATAGACACTACCTAGTTGTAAAGTGATAAAATATATATAATATCTATTAGCCAATGTCTACATTCTAAAGTAGTCCTTTAATATTCAGATTCCATGTTGGAAATGCTTACATTAAAATTAAGTTCTTGTATCACAAACTTGTTATCAACATGGAATTTCATCATGACTGGGTCGAGGATAGGTTGAATGGTAAACAGTGTCAATCATTGATTACATGTCAATTAAAGCTATGTATGATTAGAAAACATTAATTTAACCTGAAAATACTCAAAACTTATCTGATATGATAGACATTTTGCAATTAGACTGGGTTGTTGAAAAGGGAGTGTTACCACACAGTAGTATAATTAATTTAGGTACATACTTAAGTGCTTAATATAATCCTATTGGAATTACTTCGTTTAAAAGTTATTCAGACACACAAAACAGTATTCAAAAAATAAAATTGGTCACAGGTGGGAAAATGTAAAACATAACACAATATTCAATGCTTTTGTAAACTTCAGTCTTATTCCAAAACACTGCTCACTCACCGTAGAATAGAGGATAGGACATTTTCTTTAGTAACCATTAACCTCTTTTGACCTCTGGCCTATGAACCACTTGGATGCGAAAAATCACGCCATTCTGTGCCTTGTTTCTTTGTAAAGGGTTTAATCAATCTTCACATTTGTATTATGTCATTACTGTTTAATCCATATAACTAAAAAAATAATATAACAGTCAAACACACCTACGTCGTTTGTAGAAAGAGAAAAATCTACTTTAAAACGACGAAATAAAAACGGTTTTTCCAAGTCACGCCGCTCCGTGTACTGTGAGTATCGGAAAGCCCATTATTACGATTTATCGACCGCATAATAATCCCCAGTTGCGAAATTTATCAAACTCACAACTTTCGCTATATTTTTTTTTCTTTGTCGAACTATAGGAGCAGGGATCCTGTATGGTACAACATTTTTATCATAATTAAAAACCTTCGCATTCTAATGAGCTCCTTTGTTTACCAGTAGCTCCTTATATTATTTCCTTTACTTTCAAGTTCTACTTGAAAATATAAAAAAATAACCTCATTAAATACCTAATCGAGATTGTACGGCTTCCTCAATAACAATAGTTATTTAGGAACTTATTTAATAACGTGTCGATCCTTGCGTCTGCCGTGGCCTTGCTTGCCTCTATTACGCCACTAGTATTCAAGTACAGGCAGCCATTAATGTTATTCTTACGTTGTTATCTCAGCCTGTCGACGACCTCTGTCTGTACGTCAACTTGGTCCATAACCAAACAAAGGAATCCACAGAATCTTATCAAGTGTTTAAAACCACATGTAAATTCAATCATTGTTTACGTTTATTGACTGCCCAAAACGTATAACTGTTCGAGTACTTGAAACGGGACGTTTAAAAACGATTGAGTTTTATTTATAACAATACTTTGATGAGGGGAACAAAGCAGTGGCGTTGGCTTGGAGCCCACTTCTAACCCTCGCTCATTAAAGTTTCATCTTAGCTAGGGCTACGTCCATGAGCAGGCTTCTCTTAGTTGATTGCGCGAAATGTGTCGCAAAACGAGACCGTTAAATGTCTAGCACCTACTTACACCTACATTTCCCAAACGTAATAAAACAAGACTTCAGAAGAAGCCA